CACCTTGTCCAGAGGACCCCAGCCCCTCTAGGTACCTCCCACCTCCCTTCCATCCCTGCGTGGTCCACTGCCCTGCCCACTGGCCAATCCCCTAAGCAAGATCAGGCCCCTTGGATTCTCCCTGTCCCACCACCCCAGGATAGAGGGGTCAAGGGCACGTGGAGGACACCTGCAGAGAAACCAGCCAGACCTTCACACTCACAACCTTCAACCTTGCGCATGGAAATCCTGCCTTGTGTGGAAACCCTGCGCCACCACAGGGCTGCACCTGGTGAGGTCCTGGAGCTCAAAACAGAGTGACCATGTGCTAGGCTGAGAGGTGGCAGAGGGACCCTCCTCCTGCCCCAGACCTTGGCTGGAGTCAGGGAGCTTTACCCCAATATCCTGTCTGGGAAGGTGGTCCCAGCCAGCCTGCCTCATGGAGGCCAGGAGGGGACATCTGGGCTTAGCTGGGATGGGTGCTGAAGCTCGGGCTTTGCCTCTTCCCCTCACTGAGAGCTGCCCCTTGGGCCCAGGACTGGCCTCTCCTCATTCCTGAGCCTCCATCTGAGAACAGAGCTGTGACTCACCCCACCCCCAGCGTCCCGGTGCTTAATCCCACAGGAAGTGAAGGCATCTGTCAGCAGCAGCTGCCACTGGGAGTTGGCCCCACGTGGCTGGCCCGCAGGGTGGGGACCTGCACCAAGCATGTTCCAGGCCCCAGGAACCCTGGGTTCTGGACTTGCTGAGGATCTGAGGTGTGTCGGTCCACCCTCTCCATCCCACGCGGAAAACCAAGAAGGAGTCTGTCCTACCCACACACACCTCTCCCCAGGGCCTGAGAACAGCAGACGCCCTGCCCCAGCCCCTCACCTGTACGTCGAGACCTGGTGCAGATCAGAGGGCACCAAGCGGTAGCCACACTCCTCCCAAGCCTCCTTGCACACCACTTCCTCCAGCGAGAGCCCGGGCTGATCCACAAGGCCAGCACACAGCTCAACTGTCACCCCGGCTGAGCCAGGCAGCGTGGGCTGCAGTTCCCGGGGCTGGTCCAGGTCCACATCGGCCAGCGACCCTGGGAAGCGGCGTTCCACCTCACCTGCATACACAGCTGGCGGGGGAGGACACCGCCATGCAGTGGTTACCCCCAGTGACTGCTAGGAGCCTGACCCTCTCACCAGGCCTCAGTGTCTCCTGGAGGTCCCCACACCTGCACGCAGTCCCTCAACTGGAAGTGCCCTACCGATCCCTCCTCCCCACCTCCCACCCAGCTGGCCTCACCTGGCCGGAACTGCTTCACCAACACCAGGCTCCTCTGAGAAGAGTTGAACAGGAGAATGGTCACGCTGTGTGGGGGCGGGGAGCTCAGCACACAAGTGGCCCCACCTCCCCTCCCTGGGGGACCTGGTTCCCATCCTCCTATCCCCACATGCCCCCTCCCTCTTCCCAGCAGCCCAGAAAAGTTGGCCCCTTGCTCAGATGAGGATACTGAGGCCCAGCAGGGCCAGACTTGCTAGGGATACATGGTGAGGCCGGGATCTGGACCTACTGTATTCTGGGTAGCAGGAAAGGGGACAGGACATGCTGGGCAGCTTACTGTGTCAGGAGGGGCGTGGAGGCTGGGTAACTGACAGGACACTTGGCCCCTGCTAGCCGGCTACACGACTGCTACACCCCTCAGGCCACCTACATCTCCACCCAGGCTGCACCTCAGTGCTGGGGCAAGGACACCAGGCTGGCCTCCCAGCTCCAGGAGGCCCAGCCTGCTACCAGGATCCAGGTGGTCTGAGCCAGGACCCAACCAGCTGTCAGGCCTCAGGCTGACCTCTCTGGGACAGGATCGCCAAAGGCGGGCCTGAGGGAAGGGTGACTGAAGACCACGGGGAGGGAAGAAACTAGGGGTGGGGTGGGCCCCCAGCCCAGGGCTCCGGTGTTTCCAGAAATTCCCAGCCACCAGGCCAGGCCCTCACCTGTCATGGGTCTTCATGAAGTCCCACGACTTCTGGACACCATTCTGAAAGAGGCAGGGCAGCAGTCAGGAGGGCCAAGTGCTGCCAGCATGGATGGAGGCCCTGGGAGCTGAGGCCACACAAAGCCACTCCACAGGGCAGCGACACCCACTCCTGGCAGGGAGCCCTGCCCACAGCCTGGCCCACGTGAGCTAGGAGCCTCGGTGGGTGGGGAGGAGGTCAAGGGCAACCTGATCTCCTGAGGGGCAAAGGGAAGAAAGTTGTCCCAGGGGCACCAGGGGCTGCAGAGATGTACACTGTCACAGGTGTGGGAAGCATCAGAATCCAAGAAGGGCCAGCTGACACCTCAGAGTCAGGGCAGAGACCATCCCATGGAGGCACAGCAGAGGCCAGATGTTCATCACTGAGGCTGGGCTACTGGGAAGCGGGAGACAGGAGGCAGGAAGGCCGGCTGGTCTCCTGAAAGGGGCCCAGCCCCCAGAGCAGCTGGGCTGTAGAGAGATCCCGCTGCAGAACTGACTCGCGGACGGTGGCTGGAGAGTGGGACATCCTTCCCCACCCAGCTCTGGCTTGGGCTGTATCTCACACATCCCACAGTCCTGCTTCCCCACAGGAAGGCTCCCAGTGTCCAGCAGAACACAGTGGATAGAGGGGCTGAAGGGACAGGGACTGGACACAGCAGACTGGGCCCACAGGGCAGCCAGAATTGACGCCAGTGGGTTGAGTGTGAAGGGCCCAGAATACCACCACCTGGACACCACTAGGCAAGATGTTCTCCCCCTGGAAGCTGGGGTGGCCAGTGTCCATTCCTCCCAGGGGTCTCTGCTCATGGGGCCAGACCTGAACCCTGCCCATGACTGTCCATCCCTGGCCTGCTTGGCCCACCTGCCACTCAGCCTCTGGGTCAGCCCCAAGGCCCTGGCCAGCCCAGGACAGATGATGGAGCTCCATCCAAGCTGTTGAACTGTGGTTAGGGTTAGGGTTAGCTCCAGAAGAAAGGGCGCACCCTGTGAGGACTTCCTACAGTAGGCACGGGAGGGAGAGGGCACTCCGGTCAGGGAGCATCACAGTAGAGGCCCAGAGGAGGCAAGCAGGCCAGATGAAGCCGAGCTACAGGCAGAGGTGTCGGGAGGGGCGTGGCATCAGGTTCCCAAGGAGAGGGGAGGGCCCACTTCCTGTGCAGGTCAGGCTGTCCCAAAGGTGGCTGAGGCACCACCCACAGGCAAGCCCAGGCCTGCTCAACGACTGGCCACCCAGGGCCAGCTTCCCACCCAGGTAGGCTCCAGTGAGGGCCCCCCGCAGCCTACAGTGAGCCTTCAGTGCCTACACCTGTCATGGCCTTCCTTTGGGTAAATGTTGCCCTGTGTAGGTCTCAGGGACCCTCTCGTCGGAAGATCAAAACTGTCAGACCCTTAGGTACAGCAAGGTACAGGGGAAGGTCCAGAGAGACCCACTAAGACCCTGGGAGGGAGGGACAGGCCAAGGGTATAAAGGCAGTCCCATCCTCTTGAGGGCCAAGGTTTCCCCTGCTTCTGGTTCACTTTATCTGTCCACCAGGCCTCCCCTGGCCAGGTGAAACAAACAACCATGGGTTGTAGCTGTCCCCATGGTGTCCCTTGGCCTCTGAGGGAGTGCTGCCTGGTCCCCCACATCACATCCACAGCCTGTCCCCTGTTTAGGTCAGCTTTGATTATCAGACTCTCAGTGGAAATATGCTGATGGGCAGCCCCCCAGGGGCCACACCACAGCTTTTCCTGGGAAGGTGGAGAGACATCTCTGGCCATCAGCCACAGCTGGACCATGCCTGGACCACCCAGTACCCACTCACTTCCTACAAGGACCCTTGGGGGGCTGAGCAGCCACAACCAAGCACCCTCATATCCACCAGCCTCTCTGCCCCAGGCCAGCAAACAGGAAAAGAACAGAAATCCATGTCCACGTTTGTCCCTTGACTGGCCCCAGCTGCTCCCCCAGACCTGCAGTGTCCTTGGCTTCACCCTGGAGAGTGGAATTCCCTGTCCTCTGGAGCCATGGGACCACCACAGCAGGGAAGGGGAGGGCTGGGGCCTCTCAGGCTGGGCTAGCCAGAAAGGCCACACAGGGCTGGCAGGAAGCAGGCACCGGGAGGGACATGGTGTGAATCCATGGGCCAGGCGGAGGGACACCAGGGGTGGTATTAGCTGAGGCTGGGAGGGCAGGGGCACAGAGGAACGGCACAATGGTAGCAGGTAGGGCAAGCAGGCAAATACAGTGCCCATCTGGATGGGACCAGGCACTGGCCGATGATTAGGAGGAAGGTGGCCAGGTCTGGATAAGGGAAGACAAGGGCATGGGCTACTCATCCACCCACCAAGTGTGAGCCTACTATGTGTCAAGAGCGGTAAGTGCAGTCATGCTGTGGGGGTGATGCTGGGGAGGGCAGAGGTGCCTTCCCTGTGAAGACCCCTGGGAGCCCACCTTGAGAGGCTCCCTTTTCTGCCTCCTCCCTCCCAGCCTTGGTGCTCCAGGTTCCTTCCTCCTCTGCCCAGTTATCTCCTCCTTCCAGTCTTAGCCGGAGGGCCACCAACTCCAGGATGCCTGCCCTGACTTTCAGGGCGACCAGTGAGTCTGACTGCAAAAAGGGACAGGTGGGCCAGGCGGGAAGGCAAAGCTCCTTTGAAGGGGTGAGCGTTCACGTGCCAGGGCCGGCCCCCGAGGCGGAGCCTGGGGTGGGGGCGGGCCCGGGGGCGTGGTCTCTGTGGGCCGGGGCGGGGCGTCACGGAGGCGGGGCGAGCCGGCGGCGCGGCGGGTGTCGCGGGGGCGCGGGGGCGCGGGGGCGCGGAGCCGACTCACCTGGCGGTAGTGCAGCGTGAGCGGCCGCATGTAGGAAGAGCTGGCACAGCGGCCCACGGCCACCCCCTCGATGCGCTCCATGGCAGCGCGGGACAGGTCCGGCCCGGGCTTCCGCGGGGCGAGGAGCTCTCCCGTCGGGAGCTGGCGCGCGCGTGACTGTGGCTCTGGGCATGCCCAGTGCGCGCGGGGCGGGCCGTGGCGCCCAGGTAGCACCTACCAAGTGCTGCACGCGGGCGGGGCGCTGGTCGCCCCGGTGCTCCGCGAGCCGCGCGGAGGGTGTGAACCCGGGAAGGACTCGCCAGCAGACCTCGACCGCTGCCCGCTGCGTGGGAGCGTGCGGGCTGGGGCGCGGCGTGCGGGTGGTACGTTTGGGGGGAGGAAGGGAGGGAGCGGAAGGCCTGAACCTGGGGGGAAGTGAGCCCTGGGATGCCTGCCCTTCTGGGGTCTGTGACAACCCCATGATTAGGTCGTCCTAGGGCGGAGCAAGGGCGGCAGCCCTCCAAGAGCAACTCTCTGCTGGGCCCTGGCAGAGAGTTACCGGAGCCCGAGGTCTGGGTAGCCTCTGGAGCCAGGAGGGAGGACCGGGTGAACCCCGTAGGGGAAAGTGTAGACACCTCTCAGTCATTCTTTGGAAGGAGGGCTCTGAGAGGACTGGAGGAGAGATGAAGGGACTGGGGTGGAGTAGGGGGCCCAGGCAGAGCCTGGCTGTCTCTCCTCCAGATTCCCAGAAAAAGGAAGCGGCCTGGGCCGACAGCCCACCTGCTGCTTGGGGGAGGAGTTGCCGATTCCTGTCTGTCTCTGGGGCTGTCCCTCCACGCATAAGCCGGTTGCTGTTCCCGCTCCAAGAAGTCCCACCCTTCCAACAGCCTCCAGGCAACTGGAATTCTTCCCTGGACAGACCACATGTCACCACTGCCTTCCCAGGGGCAGGTTAAAACCACTGGGTGGTGGAGCTGAGGACCTTTGCTATTGACACTGTTCTTTGAACCGTGTCTTGGGGTGGGGGGTGGCCATGTGGATTTTAGATTGATTCCCAGGTCCCTGTTAGCTTTTGCTCCCCAGAACTTTAAAGCACTGTGTCCCTCCTACTCTGTGAATTACCACAGCTCCCCTACTCAGCTCTGCTTGGGGTCTCTGCAGTGGCAACCAGGTGACAGCTGGATCTGGAGTCTTCTGAAGGTTAAACCAGGGTGAGCCATCCTCAGGTAGGTGGCATGTGGCCTTTCCAGTGGCTAGTTGGGGCTTCCTCACTGCATGGATTCTCCATGGTATCTGGCTCCCCCTGGCATGTGTGTGTCAGGCCAGGCAGAACCGTTAGACTTCTATGACTCAGTGGTCCAGTGTCATGTAGAATCATTCTCACTGTGTCCTATAGGTCAGAAAGAACATTCTGGGCCACCACCTTTCCAAAGAAAGGAAATGTCACAAAGTAGGACCCGTGATCATCCTCTGTGACTGTAGGGGACTGTGTTTTCCAGCTTTGGCCTGGCCAGCCTAGTGTCCTGAAGGGCAAAGAGACCACACACCAGTGAGCCCCTCCCAGAAGCTGGCCTACCACAGCTGGGCAGGCCCAAGCAGGCAGGCCAGGGCAGGTGGCTGAGCAGGTGGCCCCAGCCCATGAGACCAGGCCCTCTGCCTCCCGCCTTGGTCTGAGCTGCAGCTGGAAGCTCTGTGATTTGTCTTCAGGATTGGAGCAACCACAGGCAGGAAGTACCTGTGCTAGAGTGAGACTCCCCAAGCCCTGCAGTGGGAAGGGGCCTGCCTGGCCATTGGCTGTGGCATGCTGAATTCCGACTTCTTTCCCAGAAATGACAGCATGTGGCCTTTTCAGTACAGGCAGAACGTTTTCCAGGTAGATATCCGGTCCATCTCTAGGGGCTTTGGAGACCTTGTCTAGGGCGTGTTTAGAGGTAGAGACAGCACCTGGTGGGACAGAAGGACCCTCTGTAGGTTCCTGTGGGTACTAGCTGAGACAAACTTCTGCAGACTCCGCGGCTTACATCCTCGCAGCTCTGGAGGGCAAGATCCCAGGTAGGGTGTTGGCAGGGCTGACCCCGTCTGGTGCCCCGGGGAGGTGGCATTCCTTGCCTTCTGCAGCTTCTACAAGCACCCCCACTCCTGACACTTGCTGCCCCTTCCCGTCTTCAAAGCCAGCAGCAGGTGTCTCTGTCCTTCCACTTTCACCCCTTATCTTCTGACCCTGTAGCTCCCTCTTCCAAGGATTCTGATAACCAGGGTCACCCCATCTCAGGGTCTTCACTTCATCCCATCTGCAAAGTCCTTTTTGCCATGTGAGGTCCCAGACCACAGGTTCTGGGAACAGGTGTGGACACACAGCAGGCACACACTGGGAGAGATGGTACCACAGCCAGGGCAGAGCCCTGGGTCCTGAGAGTCTAGGATCTGCAGGTCTGCAGGACACTGATGCTTTCCTTTCTGTTTAAGGGCAGTAGGGCAAGTTCCCCTGTAAAGGATGGGGTGGGAGGGAGGGAGGGATTCAGAGTGGTCCCAGGGTAAAGAGGGTAGAGGCAAAGGAGGCTGGGGCCCAGTAAGCAAGGCCTCTGGTGACACTAGGCTTTTGGGCAACGTCCAGCAGCCTGTCAGGTAAAGAAGTTGGCAGCTGGGTGCCTGGCAGGCTGGGGGGTCTGGAGAATTCAGTATGCCACCCTGGGAGCTGCCAGCAAGAGGACCAGGTGAGGGGGTGGGGGTGAGAAGGGGGACTGAGGGAGCGGTGACCCTAGGGCACAGAGGCTCCCCACATGTCATTGGGCAGGGCTGGGCTGCTCTACAGGTCTGGCTTTAAGAGGCCCAGCCTCAGTCCTCCTGTGTGCCAGGCATGTCAGAGCAGGCCCCTGAGGGACAGCATCCTCAGCCACCCCCAAGTGCCATGCCATGCCACACTGGAGCCTGGTGGCCAGCTCCCACCAGCACAGACAGGCTCCAGAGACCTGTCTCCACCAGCTCCCGGGGATTGCCTTCCCAGCTCCCACATGAGACCCTTGGCCCGTAGGCCTGGGTCTCAGTGGGAACGGGCATTAGAAGCTGGAGACCATGCGTGAGACACACATTTGGGGCCCCTGGCCTGCCTGGGAACACTTGTTATGCCTCATGCCGGGTGGAGGCTGGGCTGGCGCAGAGCTCTGATGGAGGCCACTTCCCTTCGGCAGCCAGAGCAGCGCCTTCTGTGCCTCGCCTACAGGGTCTGCTTTAGCTCTCAAGTCATTCTGGGCCTCCTGTGGACTGGGTATCTGTCTGGAAAATGTCCTGCTTGCACTGAAAAGGCCACGTGCTGTCTGTGGGCACCTTGCTGTGGCTGCTTGACTGTCGTCTCTGGGAGAGGAGTCCGAGAGGCACCCTGGAGCACCAGGTGACCCCTGGACTCTGGACTGCAGACGGCAGAGCTGCCTCACATGTGTGGCAGCCACAGCTCTGCCAAGGTCTGGACTCTGCCTGCTGCTGTTCTCATTCAGACAGGAACAGAGCTTCAAGAGGCTGAGTGCCTGGGCGGTGGGGGCATCGCTGTCACTCCTGTGGCTTTGGTCACCAAGTGAACAAAAACCCCTCTGGGAGCCGGGCACCATGGCACACGCCTGAGGCAGGAGGACTGCAGGTTGGAGGCCAGCCTTAGCAACTTAGCAAGACCCTAACAACTTAGCGAGACCCTTTCTCACAAAGTAAAAAGGGCTGGGGGTGTAGCTCCGTGTCGGGAGCACCTGCTTTGATCCCCAGTGCCCCCCACAAGACTGTAGTGCCCATTGACAGGTGGAGGGGTGTCTTGGCTTTTTTGCTGCTGTGACTAAAGGGCCTCGAGCAGCACAACTAGAGAGGGGGAGAAGTCGATCTGGGGGCTCACGGTTTCAGAGGCCTCAGGCCAGAGACAGCAGGCCCCACTCCTCGGGGCTCAAGATGAGGCAGGACGTCATGGCCCAAGAGTGTGGCCCAGGGAAGCAGCTGACCTGTGACCAGGAAGCAGAGACTCCTCTCTCCAGATACAAAATAGAGACCCAGGGCCACCTCCCTCCCACCAGGGGGTTGACTCTCTGGCTGAGGCTCCCCCAGCCCGGTCGCGTCTCCTCTGACCTTCCTGCATTGTCTCACGTGGACCCTTGGGGGACACCTCTCATATAAACCTGTGGTGGACACCACTCAGCCTTAAACCACTGGGTTTGGCACAGTATGGTGCCTGTGAGGATGTGGGCTGAGTGGAATGGGCTAGTCACTCGGAGCCATACCCATATGATGTACTAACAGGTGTCCCCAGAGTGCTCAGTCACAGGGACCATGGGTGCAGGGGCCACGGGGTGGGTGTTATCACTTCATGGGGACAGAGCTTGGGTTAGGAAGATGAAAACGTCCTGGAGGCGGATGGTGGCGGTGCTTGATGTGCTTAATGCCACCAAGCTGTTCACTTGAAAATGGTCCCAGCAGACAGGTGTGGATGCCTGTCATCCCAGCAACTAGGAGGCTGAGGCAGGAGGATCACAATTCCAGGTCAGCTGGCAACTTAGTGAGGCCCTGCCTCAAAATAAAAAGTAACTCACTGATAAAGCTCTTGCCTGCTATGCTGGAGGCCCTGGGTTCAAATCCCAGTACTGGGGGGAAAAGGATCAATCTTTTTGCATTTAACAAAATAAAGACTCCTCAGGAACTGTTAGTAGTGGCTGACTCCAGTTAAAGAGCCTTGCTTTTCTATATATATATATATATATGTATGTGTATGCCTCCCACGTGCTAGGCAAGCACTCTGCCACTGAGCCACGGCCCCGCCCCCAAGAGCCTTACTTTATATCTTGTATTTTATTTATTTATTTTTATGTGGAGTTGAGGATGGAACCCAGGGCCTTGCATGTGCTAGGCGAACGCTCTACTCTGAGCCCCAGCCCGGCCCCTTACATCATAGTACTGTTGTGATTTTGCTGTGGCATGTATCACTCTTTCAATTTTTTTTAAAAAAAGAAATTTTAAAAAATGCCAAACATGATAATTTTTTTATTATATGTATTTCACAAGAATTAAAGATTGGGGGGATACGTGAGGTGCCACTGCCTAGGCACGGGCAAGGGTGGGCTGTGGGCCAGACCTGGGGGAGGGGCCTGGCGGGGGTGGCTGCGCTGTCTGCCAGGGGACTCTGTAGGGCTGCAGGACAGGTGGAGGCCCCAGGCAGAGCCCTGGGAAAAGATGGGGAGGGACACACTCTGGGCGTCACGGTGTGTTCCAGAGGCTTCCAGACCTGCCTTCAGCTGCACCAAGCCCTTGTGGCAGGGGGAGGGTCTGGCTTTTCTTCAGCCTCCTTCTTGTCCACTCATCTGTGGTCCTTAGAGTGACGCTAAGGTGCAGAAGGATGGGACCCAGCCCCTTGCCCACCCAGCTGCTCCGGGCTCTGTGCCAGTCTTGGTGGGGTCTTGCTGCCACTCCACCCTCGGGCACTGCTGTCCGAGTGATGCTGGAGGCCCTTTCCCTGCTCTGTCTTCAGTGGTGGTGGCACCTTGCTACCGTCTGCTCTAGGTGGGGTCCCACAGCAGCCGTCTGGCTGGAGCTGATCTGCACCTGCTCTCTGGCCCTCAGGGCCTCCCTGGGCAGCAGCCTCTGTGGGGCCAGGCACTGGGTCCTGTCTGCCCATCTGCCAGCCTGCGTGTTCCAATCTTGGGGACAGTTCTCGCTGGGTCTCATCTCCTCGGTGGGTCTGTAACCTTTCTGTCGTTTCAGGGAGGTCTGAAGACACCAGAGGGCCCATGGGTCTCTGTCAGGAGAACTCAGGCAGCATCCTTCTGACAGGTGGCCCAGTCAGGAGCCCTGAATGCCAGGTCAGGACTGGAGGGCAGAACTCAGAGGCCATGTGGCCACGGGGGAACACGTGGCATGTTCCCCCACCCTGACACTCTGGCCCCACTGGGAGCCTGCCCAGTTGGCAGAGGGGTGCTGGAGCAAGGAGCCTGCCCACTTGACCCCCTTGCCGCCCTCACCCTGCACTGCCCCAAGCATGTTAGGGTGGCTGTCCCTGCCCTTTGGAGAGGCTGCCTAGGTCCCCTCAGCAGTCCCTAGGAACAGGTGAGCACCTGAGTGGTGTCATATCACAACCCTCACCACCTCCCCCTTGTGGGAAGTCCTCGGGCGAGGGCTGGGGCCATATGAGGGCTGCCTGCCCCCCATGTTCATGGAGCCCAGTCTGGCTGGAGGGGCTTGTGCAGGCTCAAGTCCTGCAGAGCCGAGGGCTGGGCTCCAGCCCTGCACCACCTCAGGCCAATCAGCCCCCACTTCTGAGGGCACAAGCCTTGTGGATATGCAGCCCAGGGCCGGTGACTGGACCAAGACCCCACATTTCCAACCTCCAGGCGCCCTTGGGTCTTGAGGGGAAGCCACTCATCCCATTCCAGAGTGGGCCCACCCGGAAGGCGCTAGCCATGAACAATGCCTTCGTGTGGCCGGTTCTCCCCCGCAAGAGAAAACAGTTTGACAGAATAGAGTTTCCTGCGTTTGTGCCTCCACTGAGGGGTGATTCACGCAGAGACCTCCCACCGAGGCACAGCCCTGCCAAGCCCCCTCATCCCTGAGGCCCAGGGTGCAGCCCAAACACAGGCATCATCTGGGCTGTCACATGGCATGGGGGACTTCCTAGAGGAGAAGGCCTGGCTCTAAGGGCCATCAGCTGCCCGGAGCCCGTGGGGAGGTTGGGGAGAGATTCTCAGGTGACAGAGGAAGGACCATCCTGCGGGGGCCACACTGAAGGTGCAGATGCCAGGGGGTTTGGATGGCACATGGCCCTGGACAGCCCAGGTGGTCAGTCCAAAGGATGTCTGAGTGTGCAGGGGCAGTGACGGACCCTCATGGCAGAGGGACCTTGAGGCATCTCAGGAAGGAGCTGGCACCCTCACTCCAGGACAGATGTGTGCTAATGCCAATGATCCTCATTCAGTCGCTGCAGCTCTACGTATGGGCCTGGACGGCTACTGCCCTGCCACCCCATGTCCTAGGAGACAGCCTTGCTCTGCTTTCCCGCTCAGCAGCACCTGTCCCATCAGGCCACTTCCCAGGTCTCTACTTCAACCTTGGTTTAGTCCCCAGAGCTGAAGGGTTCATGATGCCTGCAAGGCAACCCCTGGACCACCTGCAGCCCACTGCCTCTCACCTCTCGGCCTTGGGCCAGCCCCGCCTGCTGCCCTGCGTCCCTGGTTTTCCCTCTGGGCCTTGCTTTTGGCTCCCCCATTCTCCCATCCCTACTCCGATGGTAGGTCCACACCTCTCCTGGCATCACCTCACTAGGGCAGCTGCCCAAGATGCTCAGGGCCAAGTGGACTCTGGCCCCCTTGCCTGCCTGGGGGCTAGAAGCCAGTACTCTGTCATCCCCTCTCCTTTCAGGATCCTGCCCTGTGGTTTAGACTCTCCCTGCTTCTCCCATCTCTCCTGCATGGGACCAATATGGCTTCTGCTTCTCAGAACACAGGCGGTTCCAGTTCAGCCCCCCACTGACCTCTCTTGGATCTTGTGACCTTCATCAGCTCATGCCAAGGGCTTCCTTGCCCAGTTCCAGGCACCAGCGTGATGCAGCTCCCCGCCTCTCCCTGAAAGGGCCAAGTCCTTTACAAGCACCCACTGCTACTTGTCAGTGGCCCCGTAGGCTCAGTACTGTGCAAGGTACTGTCACTTGATGCCTCCTTCCATCTGCACAAACCTTACACCATGGATGAGGTAAGGAGGCTCAGAGGTAGAGAAGATGTGAGCTGGGCTAGGGGGCATCTGAGTGGGCACTGTACAAGAGATTATGGTGGATCCCAGATGTGCTCTGCCTCTTGAGCTGGGGTGCAGAAGAGCTCCTACTCACCCTCTGGGAGAAGTCCCAGTCCCCTTGCAGGCTTGCCCCATGACAGGCTCCTGCAAGAGCCTGGGTAGGAGAAGAAGGAGGCCAGGTCTTTCCAGCTTCTATAAGCCTTGGCTGAGATAGTGGCGCCACAGTGGTGACAGGCACCATGGCAGCCATGATGGCAGTGACAGCAAGAGGAGGCTCCCCCTTTCCCAGCCACAGGGACACAGGTAGAACACAGCAACCTTGGGTCTGGTGACAGCTCCCCCTGTCTCCTCTGGCCTCTGTGACAGCTACAGCCTGAGCTCCATTTCACTTCTGGTAGCCTGGCTCTCTACAAGTTCCACCCACCTGTCCATGCCCTTGGAGACCAACTCCTCATATTAAATTCCTATTTGAAATGCCTGTTGTGGTTTCTCTTTTCTCATTGAGTTGGACTGAAGGAGGGGAGAGTTTGCAGGTCAGGCACCTCAGGGCTGTAGAGAAAATGGCAAGAGGGGAGGGCTGGAGGCCTCCACCTGTGGGCCTGGGCCTGAAAGTGGGCAGGGGTAGTGACCTGTCCTATCCCTACTGCTGGCTGGCCTTGAGTGCCAACATGAGGATCAATGGGCCAGACTCCTATCTCCCACTGTAAGTGCACACATGGCTGAAGCCCCTGCCTGAGTTCTGGGCCCAAATGACCCATGGGCCAGGTGTGTGGGCCAGACAAGTGGCCTGTGCCTGGTCATCAGGACCACAAGAAGCAGGCCAGAGGTGCCTCACAGCTCAGGGAAGGGAGGAGGGACGGGAAGCTGCATTCCCCTCTTCATATCACAGTCCCTCCCCCAGGTCAGTTTCCCCAGGGGACTCCTCCTGGGAGACAGTGGGAGTGGGGTTTCGGCTCCCAGACACTTGACTCCCATTTCATAGGATTCAATTCTTAATCTTTTTGAGCTGGCAGCCCCTTGTGGGGATCAGAGGGAGGCAGCAGACCTGGGAGGGGCACCCCAGTCTGAGGACTTTCCTCCACCTTCCTATGCCCCCTCCCCCAGCTCTACAGGATCTGATCTCACAAGCGCAGGCCCCACCATCGCTTCCCTGGGAGGGGACATTCCAGCTCACCCACACACCCAGCAGGCGGTGGGCTGAGCTGAGCCCCCGGGGCAGGACCCTGGCCGGGCCAGCCTCTGCGACTGGATTTCCTGCCGCCCGCCCCCAGCTCAGTCCTGCAGGAAGTGGCCACCTCCTGAACAAAGAGGCCGGCGGACAATGGCCATTGAATTGGCCGGGGACCTCGCGCAGGGACAAGCCTCCAGCTGCCCGCACTGATAAGACTGCCTGTGGACCCGGCACAGGGGCGGGCCAGGCGCGCAAGTCTTTTCTCGCCTTGGATCCCCGCAGGTTGGCAGGGCCCGGCACCACCACGCAAGACCAAGGCACTGCACAGGTCCGCGGGCGGCACCCCTCACAGCCCTCCGGGCGCCAATGAGGAGCCTGCGCGCCCCGGCCGGCCGCTCACAGACCAATCCCTGGAGCGTACCGGGAGCCTGCCGCGCCTCTGGGGCCGGCCGGGCGCGCCCTGCGCCTTCCCTGCGCTGGACCGCTAACCACCGCTTTCCTGGCTACTGTGCGGGCCAGCGAGGCCACACTCTGGAAAGGACATGATATTTGCTATTTCCCCGCCCCTTTCTCCCCAGCAGCAGTCGTAGTCCATCCGGACGCTGAGAAAATTGAGCGCCCTGCTGCGCTTCTTTCGCATTGTTTTGGGTGCAGTGGCCTCCTACGTGGCCGTCAACATCATTTGGCTTTCTGGGAGTGTTCAATGTTCCCACAGGAACAGCTTGGACCTCGCATCTGCGTGCAAAGCAGGCGACTATGCCCTGGGGAGGCTCTGCTCTCGACAAGTAATCTCCTCCCATTCTCAGGGTGCCAGGGCAGGGCCATCAGGAGGGCACTCCTGCTCCCCCTGAACTCTGCAGCACTGTCCCCCAGCCTCCACGGGGGCGCTGAGAGGCCATATTACTTCTCCTTGGGACTGTTTCTCCTCCTGAGGCCCTGGGCAGCTTACTTCATGGAGACTGGACCACAGGATCAGGCTCAAGGGAGGAGTTGGGGCTGTCCTTCCTCAGCCTGTGCCCCAGAGCCCAGGTCAGGGTCATCTCTGAGCAGGTTGTGGAGAACCCAGGTACACTATCTCCCCACCCTAACCTGGACAGGCTTTGAGTGAGACCTGAAATGCAGGAATTGGGACAAGTGGCAAGGCCTGTGTTGGGGTTTCCCAGAAGCACCCAGCACCTGGTGACCCCAGACTTAGAGAGCCCCAGGAAAGGGGCAAGAACTAGAGTTGGGGAAGCTGAGCAGGATGAGGTGGTCTCAGCCTGCTTCTAGTTCTGGTAGATTCCTTCCTCCAGGACAGGGATGACAGGTGCACAGCTGCAGGAGGGGGACCTGGCAGACTGCAGAGGTCTGGCAGAGAGGTCTCTGGCTCCCCCTGAGGCAGGGGATGACATGAAGACTTCCTGGAGGAGGGGACATTTGTGTTGTATTTGCCAGGAGTACTGAGTGGAGACAGGTAACAGCCAGGTGTTTGGGGGAAGGCAAGGCACAGGTGTGGCCCAGGGATGCTGGAGGCAATTCTGACAGGGCCACCTAGCCTGTCCTTTCTGCTGCTTGAGGCACATGGTGGTGGCAATGGCTGTGAAGAAGGTGGCAGCCAGGTGAAGAGACCAGCCCTGGCAGGAAGCCTGCCCACATGGTGACCAGCTGCCAGGGTTCCAGGAGTTGAGGTGGGTGGGTGACCATGGGGATGATGGTGCTTGGTAGATGTACTTGGGGCATAGTGCTGGTGACACAAGGGGTAAGTATGATCTGGCTGTGGCTCTGCTGGCAGGCTGGACTATAGCTACAACATGGGCTACCCACATGATTCAGGGCACCTCTTGGCAAGGCTGCCCAGTCTGGAGTCACACCATCTGCATGCACCCATCTCTGGGTACCTGTGAACTCCTCTGTGGCCCGACTAGGTGAACACGCCTGCCAGCAGTCACCTGAGACTTCTCATGCCCATCGGAATGTCTCCTGCTATGCCTTCTGAAGGCACAGCCAGTCAGGCCACAGGGCACATTTATGTCCTGTCTTGTCAGCCATCCAGGCTGGGCTATGGACACCTAGGCCTATATAAGCAGATGCCCGCCAGTGCCCAGCCTCAGAACTCCGGTTGCAGGAAGCGGGAGACCAGGCGGCTTCCGACTCCCGCCCTTTATCAACCCTCACTGCTTCCTGTGGCAAGTGTGGCCTGGGCCCCCTTGGCGCCGGGACGCCGGGTCAGCAGTGACTCACCCAGGGCCCAGCGCGGGGACGCCCCAGCCCCATGCAAGCCTCTGCACCCTTCTGCAGTCCCCACAGCAGGCTGACCTTTGCTCCATCTGCATCTCCCACCATCCTCCACCCTCCATTTAGGATGCTGCTCAGTTGCCCCTCAGGAAGCCCCCAGCCCTACTCCCAACCCAGCTGGCAGGGAGGCACCTTTGCCTGCTCATGGTTCCCCAGGGCACAAGGCCTCAGAGCTGAGCATACAGCTCCACCTCTGCAGCCCTATGTTGACGCTGTCCCCTACTCTGAGGAGCCCGACATCCCCACCTCTGGTCCTGCCTGTCTTGCCCCTACGCTCTGCACCCTACGGCTCTGTCAGCACTGCCTTTGTTCCCCCAGCCAACCTCTGGGCCCCAGGCAGGTGGGATCTGCCTTTTTTCTACTCCTGAGACTGCCTGTGCCCCATTTTGGCCTGGCCAGCTCCTCCTTCTCGTCCAGGAGTCCTTCCTGGCCTAACCCCACACCCCTCCACTCTGGACCTGCCCTCCCCATCATAGGTGCTGCCACTTCGTGGAACTTGTCCCTGAGCCTTTTTGGATTGTCAGCAGGAACCCAGAGAATGCTGCCCATTGACAAGACAGCTCTCCTCACCCCATCCAGCACGCTTGGGGACATTCATACATGTGATGGGAACTGAACTTGAAAGGGCAAAGAAGGCCCCATGGAGACCCCCCCCCTTGATTTAATAGTGCAGGATGCTCCTCCCTGTGGCCAGGTGGACCCCATGTAAGATGTAAACAACTACCTGGATGGGCTCCTACTTAAAAGGGGACATGCCTCCCCCTCCCTTGAGTTATAACCCCCAGCCTACAATGTAAAACCTGCAAGAGGTGCTGGGCATGGTGGTCCACACCTGTAAGCCCAGCAGCTCAAGAAGGATCACAAGTTCAAGCAATTAGATGAGGCCCTAAGCAACTTAGTGAGACCTGTCTCAAAATATTAAAAAGGCTAGGGATGTGGCTCAGTGGTTAAGTGCCCCTGGGTTCAATAAATAAATAAAAGCAGCAAGAGGCCGCTCAAGTTGCAATCTCCACCCAGCTGTCCTGCAGTGCTGCCCATTGGCCAGGATCAAGTTCCCCTCCCTGCCTGCTAGGCCTCCAGGGCAGGAGGCCTGGGCCCTGTGACTTCCCCATTCTGGGGTTCCTATGTTGTCCTTGAATAGCAGCCAGGGCCAGGGATCTGCCACGGGTGTCCCCCAGGATCCTTGAAGTCCATCTGCTGGCTGGCCTTCATCATCCCACTCTCCCATCCACACCCCCAGCCCAGTTCCCAAACCCGGATCTTTGGCCAGAAGCAGACTTCACTCATCTCCTGGGCCCACGTAAACAACTCCCAGCCCTCCAGCTCCTCTGTGCAGCCACCTGCTGTGGCTTTCTAGGAGAAAACCCAGCGAAAGCATGCCACTCTGCTGGGCTCAGGCCTTCCCTGGCTGCTCAGCAGGGCCACTGCTCTGCTGCAAGTTGCAGCCTCCCACAGGCGTGCTGGATCCCTCACAGTGCGTCCATGGGTCTATCTACAGGCTCAGGTGAGTGTGTGTCCCTCAAGGTCATGAGTCCTGAGGGCAAGGGCCTGGTTATTCTCTAGCCCCAGAGCCAGTGTTATGTTTTTCTCAATGCTTGCAGAATGATTCATGAAACAATGATGAGAAACTTGTATTTTCCAGAGTCCTGTGTACAGTTGGGATTGGAGGGAATGCTCTGCTAAGGGACTTTCAGGAGAGGGGAACTTGCATGGAGGTGGTGAGACCTCAGGGTGACCTGGGGAGGATGGCAGCCCAGCCTTACCTCCCAGGTCAGAGTCCATGCACTATGAAGAATGGGCCCCTCTTTTCCGTCATCCTGTGCTTGCTGATGTGAATGTGTTTGCACCTGCATGTGCACCTGATCACCAGCTTCAGACGTCATGTAGCTATGGGATTAGCTTCCGGTGGCTTGTTACAGAATATGCCTGCACATGAGCACGATGGTAGTGGCGACCTTGAGCTGCTTTTCAGGAACTGAAGGTAGCCCAACACTTCCCTTAGTGCAGATGTAACTTCAGAAGGCAGAGCACTCCCACCATGCCTCCCTATAAATGGTCATGTGACCCGGCCCAACCTCTGGCCCCCAGCACACACCTCTACTCACCAGAGGATGTGGAGCTCACCTGCCTGCCCACCCCAGGGCAGCCCTGCAGTGGTTGGTTTGGCTTCTCCAGGTTGTGGGGGCTGAGGTCATGGTAGTCATCACCTGGGGCATGCTGGGTGACCATGAGCTCTGAGCCAAAGCAGGCAGACAATGCTGTCCTCCAACTAGGGGAAGCAATTACTCTGCTGGGCTGGTGCAAAGATCCCTCAGCCACCAAGGACAGGTGTATGCCCATATCACCTGCAGGGTGAACTCTGCCGCTAGCCCATTAAGCATGGCCAGGCCTGCCTAGCCATGGCCTCTGCTCCAACCTGGATCCAGCTAGGGACTTTTTGGGACCACCAGGCCTCCATGAGTATTGGGGCTAGCCAAGAGCCCCAATTTGCTGCCCAGTAGATACTAAGAATCCTCCACCCTCTTCACCTTGGAGTTAGCCCTGATTGCAGGGTGCTTCCTCCACCAAGGCCCCTTAAAGTTGCTTTGGGAGTACCCCCAACCCAGCTGCTAGTGACTCTTCCCTGGCTAGGGTCAGCTGGGGTGGTGGTAGCCAAGAGCATTGTAGAATGAGTTAGATATGGACCAGGGTCAAGGTCAAGGTCAAGGTCAGAATGAAGACCCCAGTTGGGTCCACAGTTGAAATTAGGGCTGGATCTTAGCAGCCTGGGGCTCTTGCCCTCATGGGTCTCAGCCAGGCCCATTGTGTGGGGACAATGGCTTTCTGAGCTAGGTTCCTCTTCCCACAGGAAAACCATAAAGAGCCTGCCCTTTGCCACCGCCCATGGCCCCTTTGAAGGCCTGGGCAGGCCTTAGGCCCTGACTGCAGTCTTGGAGCCTGACCTTGGGCCCCCACCCCTTGCCAGTCTGGTTCCACCCAGGCCTCCCCTGGGAAAAGCTAGCCTTCCAGGCACGTAGTATGGACGCTGGGACAAATAATGACCATAGGGAGACAGTGGCTCCACAGTGCCAAGCCTGGCCAGCATGTGGAGTTCAAGTCTCTACTCAGTAAACCACCACCTAGGGAATCAACTGGTCCCTCTCTGCATCCCCCAAAAGACCAGGACACTTCTGCAGGGTGACTGTGACAGCTAACAAGGCTAGGGAGGGTGTTGGCCATGGGGCAGGTGCCCCAGAGTGGGGAAGAGGTAGGGCCCAGAGTCCAAGGCCAGGAGAGAGGCCCTCTGACCTCACAGGACTAGAGCAAGAAGGCTACCCCAGGAGCTGTGTGCCCTCCCACCAAGCGCAGCTGATCCTGGGGCGCCCCCTGCTGGCCCACAGTTGATGGTGAGACATCCAGCAGTGAGGAGCAGGAACCAGAGAGGAGATGGGAGACAGAGGAAAGTGAGGGTATCCTTTGCAGACCCAACTCCACTGCCAGATGTGCCCCAGCCTGTGTTTATCTGCCACCCCTCAGGCCAGCCCACCTGCCATCAGAGGATCTCTGACCTATGGGCCTGGGGGCTGCCTTGGTCCCACCTTCTTCCCTAACTGGAGTACCCAGGCCTCCCAGTCCTTGTGGCATCCACTGCCCTCTCACCCCCAGAAAGTGGGAGCTGGGGGGGAGGCTGCCCAGGGGTCCTGACAGTGGCAACAGAGCCCCCTCCATACCCGGGAGATTTTTAGGATACTCAGTAGTACAACCACAAATCTCCCCTCCAAAGACCACCCTCCGAGGCTGCAAGGAGAAGAAGCTGACCCAGGGCCAGCCTCTGAAGAGTCCTGACTCTAGACAACGCACAACCTCCAAGACACACAGGAGTGCTGGGGTTTGTAGCCTCCCGCAGACCCCCAACCCTAAGGGCCATGGCTACCTCCTGACTCTTGCAAGCTTGAAGGAGAGTGCCAAGGAGGCTACTGAGCTGTTTATGGGGTGTTGCTAGGACACAGGGACCATGCTTCCTCCGAGCAGTGCCCTCCAGTGGGGTCAGACTGGATGGGCGAGTCTCCTCTACCCTGGATAAAGTGGCATACAAGTTCCCCGCAGCACCCAGGTGGGAGGGGGCCTCCTGCCTCGAGATGCGAGTCCCCACTTTGTCTCCTGCAAGATTTCTGCTGCCCAACCAAGTGCCTGAAGAGAGCCAGGTGGACAGGGTGGGAGAAAGCAAAAGGCCTATGTTAGTTTCCTCTGTCCAGCTGGGTCCCTGTGCTCACGCTCACACAGCAGAGCAGGTTAGTGGCAGGATGTGTTTCTACCTCTGCTGTCAGGAAGCTCCTGCATGGGTAAGGTGCCAGGGTGGCATGTGACACCAGTCTGCCCTGAGCTCACTCTTAGCCAATGTATGCACATGGCCAAGGAGCCCAGGGGAGGTGAAGGGCCAGAGCTCCTGCCCCAGCCTCCAACTATGTGTAGAAGGTGACCCCTGCCTGCCTCTAAGAAGCCTCCTCACCTTGGCTCCAGGGGGTACATGGATGGGAGCCAGCTCAGGGCAGGCAGACAAGTCCTCTTTGGCCTAGCAGTCTCGGGGGAGCAGCAACAAGGTATCCCAGAGCCCCACTGTGTCCCACCTCTCACTCTGAGGCAAGGAACTGGGTCTACTGTACTGTCCAGCTCCTTCAAGCAATTCCTAGGCACCTCTGAAACTGGGTATCTATAAAGCCCCAGATACCAGGGTCCTGGGGGATCCTGGGGAATCCTGGGGTACCAGCTAGTACTAAGTCCTTCCCTGTTTGGGGCACGTGGCTACCAAGCATCAGCTCGGTCAGCTGGGAAGTCCTGGGGCGTTGCTTCCTCCAGGCAGACAGCAGGAGGGAGCAGAGGGTCAGAAGCAGTGAGACCCGTTTTAGGTGTATCCACCTGGCAGGGGCCCAGCCTAGAATGCAGCACCCACAGGGCTGCTGGCAGGTGGGGATGGAAACAGTGCAGAAAAGAGGTCAAGGAGGCCACTCAGCTCTGAGACTGCCTTTGTGCGGTCTAGGGGCCACAGAAAGAGCCAAGATCAGAGGCCTGAGGAGGTACTGCTCCTCATGCTGGGCAGACCCGAGCCAGGGGCCCAAACAGCTGCCAGGCCTGTTTCAGGCTGTGGCATCCCTCCAGGAAGAACATGCAGCTGGGTCCCCAGACTGCTTGTGGGCGGGGCCCCACACTTGTATCAGTGGAAGCCAAAGTACCAGGCTCTGACCACAGCCAAGACACACTGTCTACTGCACGGTTGCCCTGCTGGGGCCTGCCCCTTGGTGCCTCAGTCACCCAAGTCCTCCATTCCAGGACCCTGACCCCATGTTCCTCGCCCACCCTCTCAAGGCAGTCCTCCTGCCCAGCACCAAGCCCTCCCCACACCACATCCCTCCCTGCAAGCTGAACATTCCCCAGTTCCACCCCGCCCCCCCCCCTCCGGCCTCCAGAGCTCACCGCTCTGCCTCAGAACCCCTTCTCTCAGTCTTCTGAGGAGAAATGGCCAGCCATGGCTTTGTGGATCCTGGAAACCCACCTCCCAAACCCAGCTGCCCATGTGGAAGCCAAATTCTGGAAGGCCCACTGCTAACAAAGGCAGTCTCCGAGGAGTGCTCCAGCTCCCTGTAGCTCAAGCCACAACCCCAGAAACACCTCGATTCTGATTTTCCATACTCTCCACACAGGGTCTGGTAGCTCTGCTAACTTTCCTCCCAGGCCATCTCACACCAGCCCTCCTCCCTCTCCAGCTGGACCCAGCTCTGTCATCTCTGGCCATCTGTTCCCTGCAGGGCAGGCACAGTGAACCCTTCCCTGCCTGCAGCCTGCATGTCCTTCTACTCCACCCAGCTGCTCTGACCCACAGGTGTTTTCAGGTGACCCTTCTCCAAGTTCAGGCCTCAGATATGCCATCCCCCAGCATGTCTTCCCTGTGCACCCTCTTCCCAGTGCTCTCTGGCTCTGTACTCTGCTAGAAGTCCACAAGGGGACCTTATTCATCCCATTCAGTCCCTGGCACCACAATACACCCACTTACAACTGCCACAGTTTGAGGATGGTCCTTAGACTATGCATCCTAGACGCTCTCTCCAATTCAGGCAGCCTTAGAGCTTCCAGGGTCTTCTTCCACAGCCAAGTGCCAAGACAGGCCATGTTGAGTGGCTAGGCACCCAGCTGTTGACCTGAGCCCAGGCAGTGGCACTCCAGGACCACAAGACCTGACAGGTAGGGGTGGCTATGAAGCAAGAATAGCCAGTGCTGAGAACATGCAAACAGGATCCCCATGGAGCATCTGAACAACAGGGCTGGGTGTGCTGAGCTTGTCCCCAGCCTGCTCCCAGCAGGCCACCCCGTGGCAGAAGTGTAGGTTGCAGAATCACAAACACCAATTTCAGCCAAATCTCTCAGGTAACAGGTTTTTCTTTCTTCACAAATTGGTTCCCCAGCCTTCTAATGACTCTGGGGCCAGACTGGCTGCAGGGTATAGGCAGAGGGACAGCAGTTGGCTGCAAGGACTCAAAGGCCCCAACCCAGTCTCTGTGCTAAAGTTGGGGTCTGGATCCTTCATTGGACAGCCAGCCCACCCATGTGGAGGTAGAGGGTGACCAGGAAGGGCAGTATGGTATGGTTCTGTCATTGCAGTCACTCTTCTGAGGGGCCTATACTGGGGCACAAGCACCTGGCTGCCCTCCATCCCAGGGCCACATCCAGGAAAGCAAGGCCTGAGACCTGTGCCCTAGTCAGGTAACCTGAGACTTGCTGCCTACCCCTGGGCCTGGCTCAGACAGGAGGTAAACGACCCTGCATGTGATGGGTAGGCAAGGCCCCGCACCCCACACAGGCCATGCTGGCATTGGCAGGGAGGGTATGCAGATGCAGAGGCCTGCACTGCCAGACGAGCTCGACCAGCTGCCCTCTGACAGCAGTAGAGACTCCTGGTGCAAACCCCGCAAGCCCACACAGGGTCCCAGTGTGCTGGTGCCTGAGCTGGCTGGGTGGTAGGCATTCCTGAACCTCAGGGAGCCCAAGAGCCTCTGAGTGAGGGAGGAACCAGCCACAGCTGCCTGCTCCCTGCTGTCCCAGAACACCAAGCTCCACAGGGAACTGGGAGCATAGTGCCTCTGGGGGATGACGGGAGGGGAAAGCACTTGGGCCACCAGCCAAGAACAGGTGCTAGAGCCACAGGGTTGGACCCACCTGACCCTCCACTGGCTTGACGAGAAGCGAGGCCTCCTTGTGCCTCAGTTTTCTTACAACAGGGACACGCTGTGCCTGCTTTTGAGTGCTCTTGGGTAGTCAATGACTGGGAAGCTGGGACACACCATGGGACAAAGGCCTTGGATACTCCCAACCATGTCCAATCAGACACACGCAGATAGTCAGTCTGGTTTTCCTTGCTGGATAGAAATATTCCTTACTTTGCTCAAAACATGATCCCACAGTACCATGGAGGCCACGTGTGGCCATGGGATGAGGGCTTCGAAGCAAGCAGGGCAGTGTTTGGCTGGTCCCTAGTCTTGGCATTCGTGCCTACAAACAGTGGCCCTAGAGGGCATCCAATCCCCATCAGACAATCAGGATCCAGAGCCAGGATGCTGCCTGGCCTTGAGGTCACACTCAGTAGCCTTCATCATCATCACCGTCACAGCCGTAATCTGCAAAACACAGAGGGCGACTATGGAAGCTCACAGCCCTCGCTGCCCTCAGGGATCTGCTCCCTGAGGCTGCAGGACCAGTCCCACCACTGTGGGGACTATCTTATCTTGGGGTTGGGGATGTTGGTGTGCGCCCAGTGTGGGAGCCTCAGTTCTTGACTGGGCAAGTGTCCACAGTTTGGCCAGCCTCACCTCCCTCCCTTGAGTGCACACATCTGTCCACCTGTCAGGCCTGGAAACCCCATCTGCTGGATGATCAGCCTCCCCAGTGACTCTAGTCAAGCCCAAACATGGCCTTCACAGCAGGTGCCTTGCTGTCCCCATGGAATTGGCCTCTTAGGCCCTGGCCAGCTCTTCCAACATGTCCTAGGGCCTCAGAATCAACATGGCCAGTTTATGCTGTCTTCATACAAATTTCCTTCTTTTCAGAGAAAAATTTAGTATGAAGCCAAAGGCTTGTGTTCGGGGATCACCAGGGGCAGAAGGTTTGTGCCTTTATCTCTCTGGAAGCCCCCCTGCCCAGTGCCTGTGTCAGGCCCCCTGACCACGTGCAGCACCACCCACCATTGCCGCCCATCATCTGCAGGGCGCTGACGCAGGGCTCCCCATCCTCTTCATCTGCGTCTTCCTCATCCGCGTCCTCCTCGGGGTGGTATGACACAGGGCCGCTCTCCACCAGGACTGCTGCTGGCCTGACCAGCTCGGCTCCCGGGGCAGGGGGACTTGGGAGCACAGCCTGGAAGGATGGGAGTGGAGAGATGGCCACAGGAGAGAGTATAGGAGAGACCTTGGTGTCTCTCAGGATAGCCCTGGACGGGCCCTCATGCTCCTGCCCCCTACGAGAGCCTGTCAGAGGGTCTGTTGGCTCCCAGTACCCACGGGCCCCTTCTAATCTCCTGGGGTGTACAATAGGCTGCACCAGCACAGTACCCAGCCCAAGGCCCCCACCCAGGCTGCCTCTGGTGAGAAAGAAGCCTCACACTCAGCCCCCAGAACTTGCAAGGCAGTTCTCAGTGTGTGCCCTGGCCACTGCCACACACTGTCCACTGTGGGGGCCGGCTCACCCTCGGCCCTGGCCTCAGGCAGGACAGACATGTGCACCAGGCTCTGTGCCTGGCCCTCGCTTCCCTCCTGCTCTGCTCCTAGGCACCCCTGAGCTTCAGGATTCTCTGTCTGTGCCAGGCCAGTGTCGGAGCAGCAGTCCCTGGGCCCCTTCCCATCAGACCTGGTCACGGGTGGGCTGTTCCTGAGGCCAAAGGCCTGGCTGGGCAGAACAACGCACCTCTCCCATGGCCGCCTTCTTAGCCGTCTGCATAGATACCAGGGGCCTCAACCTGAAAGAGAGATGGCACACAGTCTCAGCCAGCTCTGCTTTCGGCTCTCACTGCCTCAGAGGGCCCTCACCACCTGGTGGAGGACGTGGCTTGGCACCCACTCAGTACACCAGGACCCACCCCAGTGGTCCTGCCTGCTGCCCCAGCTGGAGCTGCTCCCTTTGGAATGTGCCTCCAGCAACATGGCTGGCCTTACAGGGCTCTCCACCAGACCTGGGGGTCTGTGTACTCTGGCACATCTGTCCTGGCCCTCTCCAAATCTCTCTTCTATCCAAAGGCCCCCTGCTGACCTGGACCCCCTTGCTCCTTCCTTGTTTCCGCTAGGTGCTCCAGCTTTTCTGCCGCTCCTAGAAGTCCAGCTATGTTGATCCTAAGACTGGACTGCTATATGTGTCTGCATTAGTCAATGGGTGAACCACGCACATGACACCAAAATGCAAGCCAGAGGCCACCCCACTTCCTGACTGCAAGAGGGGCAGGTGGAGAGGCTCTGGGTGGTTATGGAGAAATACATGAGAGACATGGGCAGGAGCCATGTGGACCCTGTCCATTTCTCCCTGTGACACTCCCCTGGTTAATCACAAAAGTCTCTGGAGGAGGAGAAGAGGAGACAGAGGAGAGGAGGAAGATGAGGAAGGACAGGGGAGGTGCTCTAAGTACCCGCCAAATGCCCCACATGGTCTACAGTAGTAGCCCCATGACTTCTGCTAGCAGCACCCTGCACTGCCCTCTGTCCTCAAACCCTCCAAACACAAATGCACTTTGACACTGAAGGCTTCTTGGAGGGAAAGATGGGGTCCCCAGGAGAGAAGGCACATGTTGATCCCTAACCCTGGCCACACAGTGCCATCCAGGCTGGCATACATGGGTTCTGGGCCTGTAGCAGTAGGACAGAGGGGGTGGAGCCACTCCTTCCAGGACATAGCAGTGGGGGGGATAGAGGACTATAGCCACTCAATCTGCTGGGGACCCTCTGAGGCCTAGCCCTGTGAGCTAAGACATGCTGGGTGAACCTGGGGGCACTGGGAAGGGGTTCTGGAATAGGTGAACATCACAAAAACCACCCAGCAGCCACCAGTGTGATCCAGGTGGAACCAAGGTTGCTAGCCAGGCACAGAAGGGTTTATAAGCACCTGGAGAACAAGGTTCTGCCTAGCATTCCCTCCTGCCAGATCAGTCCCCAGTCAGCCAGAGGCCCAGGGACCTGGGGCCACCAGCAGATGGCTGCCCCCAAACCCACCACCACTTCAGCTGGGAACCTCTCAGTCTCAACAGCAAATGCCACAGTGAATTCCCCAAACACAGCAAGACTGAGGGTGACAGCCAAGCCCATCTGCCCAGGCAGTGGGCTTGGAGCCGGATACCACACTAGCTCCACTGTCTGGCCTGAGCCTGTGAGCAGAGGCCTGGACCCAAGGCAGCTGACCTGGGCAGGAAGGACATGCGGGTCAGAGCAGCCCCACTCAGTATCTCCCGACTGGCTCAGCGGTGGGGAGCACACACCAGCCTAGGACTGGGAGCAGCTGACCAGACAGTGACAGGCAGGGCAGCCATGGCACTGCCATCCTGGGGCTGCAGGCGCTCAGGAAAGGAGGCAGGAGCTGCCTGATCCAGAGCAGGGCCCTGGGGAGGACAAAGCCATCACATCTGGGGCCTCTTCAGTTCAATGTCTGGTAGGATGCCCTCCTGCAGGGATCTGCAGGCTGTCGGTCATGCTTCCTCCAAGCCCATCAATTCTTCCAGGCCCTTCCCCACCCACCCAGAAGCGCCCAGCAGTCCAAACCTTGTGGCCAAGTAGCTGAGCATAGCAGCCCTGCAGGGTGAACTAACCAGGTTCTTGCTGGCCCTGCAGTGAGGCCACTAGTGCTGGGCTGGGGTGGGGTGGGCCATCCCCTGGCAGGAGGCAGAGCCCTGTGCGCAGCTGCTACAGCCCTGTGGCTCCTGGCCAGACCTCAGCCACAGCCTGTGCACTCTCTCTTCAATGCTGAGCATGGAGGGCAAAGCCGCCAAGGGCTGAGGGCACATTGGCACCCCAGAGGCCTGTGGGATTTTTCCCTGCCCTGTGGGAGCTGCCTGAGCTGCACAGCCACAGCTGGGTAGGATGGAGGCAGATGTGGACATTAGATATTCATAAACTCTGATCCTGGCCACTCAGGGGAAGGCTGGCAGCTTTCTGTTCAGGAAGCAGCAAGTGAACAGGGACGTGGGACCTCTCAAGCTGGCATCAGACAGCTTGCAGATGGTGCCAGAATCACACACTAGAACAGGACTTTCCCTGACACCCATAGGCCTGACCTGGCCAGAGGGAGGCTCAGGTAGGGTCCACAGCCTCTCTGAACCCCTGCTTCCCAGCTGCAGCTGTTCAATCTCCAGCACTGTCAAAGCAATAGCAACGAGACACAGACCAATGCTGAGGCCAGGGTGAGTGACAGCGAGGATGGGCGGGCTTCGGCCTCTGCCCCCACCCAGTCCCAGCTTGCTGCACTGGTAGAGGGATGTACTGGGAATCCGTGTTCAAGACTTGACACCTGGACACCTGAAGGCAGAGATCACATGGCCACAGACAGGTTGAAAGGTCAGTTGAGAAAATTCAGGGTCCATTCAGGAAGCTGCTGCCTCAAGCAGCCACACAGCCAGCCAGCTGGTGGAGGAGCGGGGGTCTGGAGCGCACTGGGACTCAGAGGCCATGGAAGGCCCCTAACCTGCAGACCAGTGAGGCTGCTGGGAGCACCAGGGACCCAGGAGGCAAGTGTTTTCCATCTAAGCAACTCCATGGCAGGCAACCACAGCAGGAGGAGCAAGCACAAGCCTGGGACTCCAGGGGACCCTGGGATCCCTGTGTCCCCAGCTGAGGAAGACAAAACCCTTGAGAACATCCCCACCAGCAAGATGGTCACACTGCCAGTAGGAAAAGGTCAGGTCTAGACATCTCCTTTAAGTTCTAGGAAAAAATAAACAGTCCACAAAGAACACTCTCCTGGGACGGACCCACCAAATACCACCAGGTTGTGCACAGCAGAACCCACAGCTGGGCAAGCAGGTGCTGAGGGGGGTTGTTGGCATCCACAGGGCCGGGACAGCCAGCCAACCCAGGAAGGGTCCCTGGGAGAGCATCTCCTATCAACGGTCAGCCACCCAGAGTCTCGCAGACCTCACCCCAATCCTCATGCTAAAATAGGTCCAGATGGATCAGAAACTTAGGACAAAACAAACCAACCCCAAAAGAGATCTCCTCACAACCTGGACAAAGAAAAGGCTGTTCTGGACACAACACCGACCCTAGAAGCTGTCAAATGAATGGACGGGTAAACAGAGATGCTTCGCCACCAAGAGAGAAGCCACGTGACAGGCACATGGGCAGAGGGGAGAAGGCACCTCCTCGTTGTGACTCATGATTAAAAAGAGCCACAATAGGGGCTGGGCTGGGGCTCAGCGGTAGAGCCCTCGCCTAGCACGGGTGAGGTCCTGGGTTCCATCCTCAGCACCACATAAAAATAAATAAACAAAATAAAGGTATTGTGTCCAACTACAACTAAAAAATAAATATTAAAAAAAAAAGAGCAACAATAGAGAAGGCAGAGGCAACCCAGGGAGGCCTGGGAGCAGGCAGGTACGGCTGCACTGGGTGCCCAGCCCATCTTCATAGCCAGGGGAAGGCTCCAACCAGCACCCTGGGCCCTTGTCAGGGGACCCTGGCACAGCAGGGCCATGTGCAGCTCAGCCACCCGTGGCACAGCTCAAGACCACAGCACCCTCTGGCATTCAACTGGTCCTGACCCCACAGGAAGATGCTGCTGTGGCTGCTGTTCCCCTCCCCTCCACCATACCCCAGGGTCGGAGCGCAGCAGGCCCACACCTCTCCCCTGTGGCTGCACAGCTGCAGAGGGTGTGGACAGGCTGGGGCTGGCCCACATGGACTCATCCAGGCCAGGGAGCCCACTGCTTTCTCCAGATGGCACAGACCCTGATGCCGCTGGTGCCTGATCAGCCCAGGGCCTGAGGCAAGGGGAGCTAGGACAGTCTCCCCCCACTAGGAGGCAGCAAGTCGGCTTCCAGACACGGCAGGGCAATGCAACTCCTGGGCTCTCCTGTGGACCCGGCTGGTGCACTGCAGCCCAGAGGAGGGGACAGGTCAGTACCTCTTCCCTATGCTGGTCCCAGGGTCAGCCCTGTTCCTGCTGGCTGCAGTTCTCCTCCGTGACAGCTTCTTGGAGCTGGCCCTCTCTGCAGGCCGCGCGTCTTCGCTCTGTGGGCTGCGCCCACCCTTGCTGTTGAGGTCACGGAGCACGCTATAGTTGATCTTGCTGGAGATCTTCTTCTGCTCCAGCATCTTTTCAATGGCTTCCCCCGCTGTGCTGGCCTGGATGGGTTCCCGACGTTTGCAAGACTTCTTGGGCTTGGTTGAAACACAAAAGTAATTCCCCTTGTGAGCTGCTGTCCTGCAACCTACGATCACATCCTGTGACACTGGGGCTCCTTGGGGCACATAGCCTGCACTGGGCAAGCCCTACCGGCTGGCTCAAGACACCATGGTGATGCTGAGCCTATACAACCTCCCACCACACTGACCTCCCGAGTGTGGTCACCCCTGGTGGAGAAAAAAGGCAAGTGCTCAGCAGAACGTGGGCATGCTGCTGGTGGGGGGGTTGTTGGGCCCTCAACGTCCCAACTCAAGTTTCAGGGGTCCTCCTGAAAGGCAGGTTCCACACCTGTCCTCTCCACCTCCTCTGGGTTCCGAGTTCAGTCTGGCCAGCAAGAGTCCAGACTCCCATCCTTCCTCTTGCTCAGACACTCAAGAGGCTGAACCCCTTCCAAAATCATCAAGTGGAGGACGAGCTGCTGCCCAAGCCCTGGAGTAAGAGCTGAGCCACACAGCCACAGAGGCCAGCCACTCAGGGGGCCGTCAATCAGACCTCCTCAGGGCATAAAGAAAATGAATGTCCTCAATGAGAAGCAGCCACAAGGGACCTCGCCCCAAAGCCGAGTGGCACGTCCATCCACAGTGGAGCCAAAGACCAGCGGGGAAGTGGGTCTGGAGCACTCCACTGCCACTGCCTGCCCTGGCCTTGGCCCTGTGCCAGGGAAGGCTGTGCTCCAGAGTTGTCTTTTCCTGTCAAAGGTCTCCGGCTCCCTGGCCCACTCGGGGTGCCTACCTTGTGCTCCTTGTAGATGCCGAGCTCCTTCTCCTTGGCTATTCTTGCTTCTTTCTCTATAAACAGTCAAGCAGAATGGCTGGCATCAGTGAGGCCAAGCCTCTGAAGCCCCCAGGCCCAAGCAGGCGGGCAGGAGGGCAGGTGGGCGCTTACCCCTCTGCTCCCGCAGGTACTCGGCATTCTCCCGCATCCACAGTTCAGCCTTCACTCGGGCCTCCGATTCATTCAGGATGTACTGCACAGAGCAGTGAAGGTGCTCAGCTGGGGACCCCGCACTATAAGAGGTCCCTAAGATCTCCTACATGGAACACACTTCCCTTCGCATGTTTGAATCATCAAAGGGAGGGAACACACGACGGGCCGCTACTCAGCATGGAAGCTGTCTATCGTTCCTCTGCCCTTTCTGAAGCCACAAACTGAGCCATGGAGCAGTGTCCAGGTGTCCTAGACTCTAGGGCAGTCTGTAGCCCTGCTGACTCCAGAGTGCAGGCCATAGGTCCCAGGAAGGGAGATAAGGGTGTATAATTCCAACACAGGAACAAATGGACAGGCTCAGGCATCACATGGCAATAAAATCAGAGAGAAATATGGGAGAATGGATACCAATGAGACAAACCAGAGTCGGTGCACACACCTGGACCCGGGGTTTGGGATCGGAGGTGTACGATGTGCATGCCTCTATGGACCTCCTCCTGGACTAAGGCCACCCCAATAGGGTGAGTGGGTGGTGGCAGAGAACAGAGGCAGAGCTCAGGGCCCTGGCTTCAGAGGGAGGGCTTGTGGCAACTGAAGCTGGAACAGCCTGGGAGGAGGAGTCTGGGGACTGGACCGTGGGTGTGGGCACTACCCAAGACCATCCTTCCACCAGGGAGTGTATAAGGATGCCCAGGGAAACCACCAGGCCCAAAGATCCCAAAATGCAGGCCGCCTGTGCTGGAGCCTGGAGACCACCCCCCCTCAGCCTCCCACAGAGCCCAACCAACTCCTGTAGCCCAGGGCAGTGGTGGCTCACTCTGTCGATCTCCAGATCATCGATGCCGCTGAGGTCCAGCTCCCCGTCCCCCGAGGTGTCTTCTAGAGGGAAGGGCCACATCAGTTTTGCTCAGGGTGGCCCTGCTAGAGGAGCACAGACACCGCAGGACTGGTTTGGGACTCAGGCCTGGGTGGAGGAGCTTCTGGGAGCCCCACCTTCTCCATCCTGCAGGCCACAGGCCTGTCTTTAAGTGCTATGGGGACAGTGCTCATATCAGAGTGCTAACTGAGAAAGCAGGACACCAAACCCAAGCTGCAAAGAAGACCCACACGCCCGAACCTGGTGAGAGGGAGGAGTTCTTCCGACGGGGATACCGGCTCTCTGGCCCACCGCCAGGACCAGGCGAGACGCTGCTGGGGAAGGCTGGGTGGGAGTGTGGCCAGAAGGTGGGGCTGGGCATGCTGGTGCCCCTCAGCTGGGTCACAGGACTGAGGGCAGACACGTTATATGAGTCCAGAAGTCCAGGCCTCTTGCCCCAGCATGGTCAAAGGCAGGCTGCACCGCCTGGCAGGCCCTTGCTCAGTATCCCCACAGGAGGCTGTCAACTCTGGCCACAGGCCAGCCGTCTGGGTGCTCTCAGTGCTCAGGCCAGCCCTTGAGGCCTCTGTTCTGGTCTGCTCTCCCTCTCTCTTGCTTTTTCTGTCACACAGCAGTCTCTTCCTACTCCAGATCACTGGGCCCCTGCTGCCTCAGAGCCTTTGTATATGCCCTCTGCCTGGTGCTGTGACCTGCCTAGGCACCCTCACGTGTCATCCTTGCTACAGGATCATGTGTCATCCCTGCCTGAGGTCATGCCATCCACACCTCATGACAGAGCATTTTTCCTGAAGAGAAGGCAGGGTTTGAGGGCAACATGCTGCCTGGGTAGCCTGTCCTGCAGAAATGGGGCTACTAGCACCCCAGTCCCATCTCACACCCAACCTGGGAGATGGAAGGGGAAGGAGCCACAGGGACCAGGAGCCCTGGGCAGAGGGCACCTGTCCTGCTCAGGTACCTCATCACTGTCTTGCTCAAACTCATCAGGCAATGCTCCCAACATTGAAGCCCACCCCCCAGGCCAAGCTTTCCCACCACCATGGAAACAAGAAAGGAGGGGTGAGCAACTGGTCCCTGCCAAGGCTCCTTTCTGTCACACAGCAGCCACTCAAGCCCAGGGCCCCGGGCAGCAAGCTAGCCAAGGCCGTGGGGCAGGGGAGGCTATGGAAGACAGTGACAGGACCTGCTACACTGTGGGTGACGCATACACCCAGTTCTTCTCCACACAGCCCTGGGCATGGGCCGTAGTGTGCCCTCGGCCCACCCTTCTAGAATGCTGCTTCTCCTAGAGACCACAGTGGCTTCCCATTCGCTCCATGGAAGGGGTCAGGTAGACTGGGAACACCACCTGCCCTTCCCAGGGCACTCACCAGGGTCCCGGCTCGGGGCAGAGATACACTCGCGTATGGAGTCTGAGATGCCCAGGCTAGCCGCTGTGGGCAGGGGGCCAAGCAGGGACTCCAAGGCCAGGGCTCTGCTGCCCTCTTCAGGGCTTTCTGCTGCCTCTGAGCTGCCACTTCCGCCACCCAGGAGCTCCCTGTAGAAGTCCTTGTTCATGTGGCTAGCTGCCGCCTCTAGCTCCTCATCTTCGATGTCCTCCTCACCAAAAAGGCTGGATGTAGTGTCCTCAGCAGAGCCTAGGGACACAATTCACATGCAACCTGTCAGCCAGGCAAAAGCCAGAGACCCAATTCTGTGACACCTTTGTCAAGCTGCAGAACAACTGAGAAAACAAACACTTTCACAAAAACATGCCCTTTTCTGCAACAGAGGAAGAAGGGTCCCACCAACAATAGTGCTGGGGATGCCCAAGTGTCCGCACCTCATGCAAAAAAGCTCACTGGAAACGGGCTGCAGGCCCAAGTTTAAGTGCTTCAGAAAAACAACAAAATGTTTGTAACCATGGGTCAGGAAAAAATATCTTAGATGTGGGCCGGAAAAGCAGAATCCACAGAATGCCAATCAAATGGATCTTGGAAGTGTTAAGATCACCTGCCCTCGGAAGACACCACCAGGCAAGACAACCTCAGGTTTCCCCACAGAGCCGCTGCACAGACACGGGCAGCTGGTCCAGGCACTGAGTCCAAACTCCACGGGAAGCACGGCCCAAGGGGGAAGCAGGCACAGGAGCCAGATGGGCACTTCAGCAGGCAGGACATCGGGGTCAGGGTGACATCGCCAGGACACGCTCGTTGAACCACAGGGAGCCACCACAGCACCGACACACCCATCAGCACAACTGGACGCTGATGAGATGGGACGCAAGTGTCAGGGGACAGAGCCCCTGGAACTCACACACATCGCTGGTGGGCAAGCCACAGTGCACCACTGGGGACAGCATGGCCACTTCCTAGAGACTCAAAGCCTTACCCAGAAACAGCCCCTGCGCCCCTCGCCCACGATAGAAGACAGCAGCACCCTTGCCGACTGCACAGGGCTCATGGTGGTTTGCTCATAGTGGGTGTTTTTTTTCTCTTAGTGCTGGTGATAGAACCCGGGGTACTTTACCACTGAGCTAACCCTTTCCATTTTATTTTGAGACAGGGCCTTGCTAAGTTATCCAGGCTGGCCTCCAACTTGCCATCCTCCCGCCTCAGCCTCCCAAGTCACTGGGATTCTGGGCGTGTGCCACTGCACCCAGTCAAAGAGCTTTATTTGTAATGGTCTAAAACAGAAAATAACCCAAATGTCCTTCAACAGACAAATGAATGAACAACATCAAGTATATTCACAGCCTATTACAGCACAACAAAAAAGAATAAATTATCAGTGGATTATTCAAAATAATTACACTAAAGGGAAAAAGCCAGAGAGATAAAAAGAGCAGGCATTGTGAACATAAAAGACTTTTGCATAAGTCTAGAAAACCAACTGAACGGGTGACTGAGAACAGTCAGTGGTGGCCTGCAGAGGAAGGTGAGGTCACGTAGCAAAGGCTGAAGAACACTTCTGCACTGACAGGTCTGACTCACCCTGTGCTGCAGCTTCACAGCTGTGTGCAGGTGTCAAAGCTCAAAGGCCAAAGGGCAAGCCTTACGTGTGCAGACTGATGTGTGCCAATTGCACCTCCTCCTGCACGAGACAGAGTCAGATGGTGCACAAGCTCTTAGAGCCACAGTTAGCACTGCACGTCACAGGAGGGCCCTACCTTCACAGGGTCCCTAGGGAAGAACTGGGTCTCCAGAGAGCAGGGAGACCACAGGGGAGACGAGCCTTCTAGACAGCCTGCTGCACACAGCTCTGTCCTGACCTTTAAGTCTCCCTTCCCCAGTGGAGCTAGCCAGGACCCTGCAGAGGCCACCATATACCCCAAAGTACCTCCAGAGAAGTCCCACCTCCCCACACTGCAGTAAACCCAGCCCCAACCCCTCTGCTCTCAGGCCCTTAGTGGCTCGGCGCCCAGCCGAAACCACAGTCCTACTGCAGTGTGCACGGCCTGAGCCAGGAAGCCCTGCTCTGGCCTGACCTGGCCAGTGCCTACTCTGGCCTCACTGGTCTCCTGCTGTGCCTCACAGGAAGCAAACAGCAAGGAGGGTTTTGTTATGGTTGAGGCAATGTGATCAGACACAGCCCAAAAGACAGAGGACAGGAGACACTACCTAGAGAACAGCAGGAACAGAACCCAGACCAAGTTCAGAGAGTGCCATGTGAAAAGAATTATCAACAATCAAATGGGCTTCCTTCCGCTACCAGGAGAAACCAGGCTTTTCAGGTTGGAGCAAACAGCCACACCAGGTCTTCATGGTGTAAGAAAAGTCCCCAGGTGGGCAAAGGGTCAGGGAAAAATATCTTAGATGTGGGCCGGAAAAGCAGAATCTACAGAATGCCGATGAAATGGATCTTGGAAGCATTAAGATCACCTGACAAGCAGGATGAAACGACCATCGCCCCCAGGGCTGGCCTCCAACCTGGGCAAGGCCAGGTGTCACGGGCAGAAGACAAACCTTCGAGTCACAGCAGCAGCAGCAGGCAGTGGCCACCTTTGTGTGTGAGAGAGGCCACTGAGCAGATGACAGTGAGGCCCAGAGGCCCAGGCAACTCGAGCTATGGGCACTGTTTGCATGTGCATGGAGAGCAAAAGCATGACAGGTCCAGCCAGCCTGCCAGCCACAATGTGGGGTGCCTGCTTCCCACGTGACTAGGGCTATCACGTGTCCTAGGATGCTCCACCAAGGGCAAACATATCAGCACCACGCCCTGGTTAAGATACCAGGAAAGCAGATGTTACACCAAAGCCACAAGACACCCACCCCAGAGCCTCCAAAGCTTCCTCACATATGGAAGAACCAACAACCCGAGACTGAGAAAATGAGACATTCTCTGATGACAGTGCTCAGAGGATCTGTCTGCAGCCACAGATGCCACAGGCAGGCAGGTGACAGGGAGGGCACAGCAAGGGCGCTGGAAAGAAGGAAGAGGGTAATGGCAGCAGCTACCAACACAGCAAACAGGCAGCAAAACCAGGAAGTACCGAAAAGGCTGGCTTCTGGGAATCAACGACCCAGCCAGGAAAGCACCCAGAAAACCAAAGTGTAAAGTAAGAAATGGTGAAAAAGGAAACCATGGAACAAACAAAATACTTAAAATATAACTTTGCTCAACTCTACAAGCAGATAAGGCAACTACTGCAGCCAAGTGGTGCCTCCCAGGGACCAGGAAAGGGAGGACATTCAAGAAGATGGTGCATCCATCAATCACAGAGGAATAGTTTCCACTGACCCGAGGACATCTGAACACAGACTGGCTGTGGATAAGAATGCTTCACCGAGGCGCATAGGTGGCCATTCCCTTAACATGAGCCACTATCTTGCTGAAAGCACAAAACCTGGTCCCTGGTGCTGGCGGTGGAGACATGCCTGTTCCTGCCACCAAGATTCAACAAGGTGCTGCCACGCCAGGCAACAGACCAGATCCAAGAAAGAAATTCAAGACATTAGAACCGGTAAAGGACAACAGAAGGGTTTCTGTGTGTGGGGACATAATTACTTAGAAAACCCAATGATAACTAGAAAACAACTAAAAGCAACTACAGAATTCCTACCATGTAGGAGAACAAAGCAAACGCCCAGAAATGGGCACTGTTTGCCAGCAGTGAGCACCCATGGAAATGAGAGGGAGGCCACTTAAGCAGCCAGTGAAGGCAGAGGTCTGGAGGAAGGGATGTCACAGGCTTCAGCACATGGAGCAGAGGGTCAGAGGGGAGGAAGTGCCTGTTCTCAGGAGAGGTCCTGAGGGAAAGACAGGGACAGTGGCTTACACAAGCTTACTGACAAAGCGGAACAGGGCTGGGAGGAGACAAGCTGGTCTCACAGCTCCCCCACAGCACAAGCCAGTGTCTGCACACACCAGGGACCTGTGGTCATGCCACCTTTCTCTCAGACCCCACACACCTGGCAAGGTAGTTGCTGGTGCCACATGTGGTTCTGGCTTCAATAAGCAGAGATCTCCAAGAGTACAGAGACCTGGCCTTGCTGGCATGGGTGGCACCACAAGCCCCAAACCCAAGGCATGGGAGGTGGCACAGGGACTAAGGTGCTGTATGTCCCACTATGGACCAGATGCTGCAAAGGGCAGCTGAGCACTCCTCCATCTCTGCCTGGCCTGGGAGACAGGTCCATCTAGCAACACAAACACCTCAGACAGGCCCTGGACACAGGGGACCAGGGGCAGGGCACAGCAGGAGAAGACAGGCACTGAGCAGCACCCATGCCACAGCCAGGCTTTAGCACTGCATGTGGAGCCAGAGTGGGCAGCAAGGAGGAGCAGGGAGAGGTGGCTGTGGGGCTGGGGCCACTCACTGCAGGGCTGTCTCTCTCTCACAGGCGCTGCCTAGCCAAGGGTGAGAACAGTGACCCTGAGGGGCCTGCAGGGGCAGCTGAGGCTCAGAAGCAGGAGGCTGGCCTGCAGGAACTAGGGGACAGAGAGGCTGCTGGGGGACGTGGCTGCTGATGGGTGTTCAGAAAGTAGCTGGCTCTCGGCACAACATGTCAGGACCAGGGGACCAGCAGCCTGGGATGGAAGAAGGACCATGTGGCCATGGAAGGAGAAGCAGGAGCAGTAGGGTCCAGGGTCAGAAGAGGAAGAGGTCTCTGGGGTGCTGGCCCAGAGTCCTCCAGGACAAGGAGAGAGGGTGAGACTCACCATCTTTTGATAGGTTGGCGAGGGCCCCCTTTGCCTTTGGTCGGCTATTTTCTAGTTCAATCTCAATGGCATCCTGGTAACTGGATATTTCACCTAAAGGAGTCAATTACAATTAAAAGCCAAAGGTAAACACAAATTACTTTTTCCAACAAAACTAAAACATGCACAGGAAGTCTGGTTGGTTACCTTCAACTTCCTCCAGTTTTTTTGACAGGACCTGTTCAAGCTGAAAGAGAAGAGTCAAATGCTGGTAAGCCTCACTGTCACCAGGCCATAGGAACAAGCCCCAGGGAGGGCAGGTAGAATCACATTACAACTGGCTCAGAAAGACAGAGCTCTCCTGAACAACTAAAAATGATGCCTCACCCACACCAGGGCCAAGTCTGTCTCTAGGCAGGTGCCCCCCCATACACTGCCCCAGGCTCAGCTGCCTGTGTCCACCTCCACTCCGACTCCTACCCTCTGGGCGCGGCCCTTGTGCAAGAGGAAGCCATGTGGGAAAAGGACAACACAATGAGGGTAAGCTGTAGGCGGGCAGCACTTAGGCTCTGGTGCACTCCAAGCGCTCCTGTGGAGGCCCTGTCACTGCCACGTTGTGGAGGCAGCCCCACAGAAGCACAGCTGAGGGGAAGGAGGCCCTGTACAGAGCAGTATGCCTCAAGAACTCCTGGTTCTCAAGGCCCAACAGAGTTAGCCTGCTCCAGGAGTAGACCAAGTTTAGCCTAGTCAGCTACACACACATCTGGAATCAACACTCGGATGTGACATGTCAGAGCTCAAATGCTCTCAGAAGACCAGGAGCTATGGGGAGGGCAGAAGGGCTGGTGCTACCTGCTTCATCCGTAGCTTTCTCTGTCCAGCTGTGTACGAGGGGGGGTCACATTCTTCCTCCAAGTCAATCTTCATAAACTCATCAATGGTCAGCTGACTAGTCGGGGTGTCTTCAAATTCCGTGAGCCTAAAATGGGGAAGTAAGATGGAGCCAATGCCCTGAAAACCTATTTGAAACTGATCTACAAGAAGAGGCCTCCACAGGCCCTGGTCACACCACCAGTAGCACAGGACCAGTCCCTTGCTACAGCTTCCGAGTCCTCACCAGGTCTCTGGGAGAAGGCCCACATGTCCTTGAGGCCTCCATACATACGCCCCAGGGCCTGGCCAGAAGACACAGGAACGCTGCACAAGGAGGGAAGCAGGTCAGAGTCTCCATCTGCCCAGTGTCTCAGGCAGGGATTCTGCACTTCTGTGACCAGCTAATGCTTAATTCTTATATGTTTTCTATCATCTTCAAAACGTTTAATTATTTTTTTAAAAAATTAGAAGTGGAATACTTAAAGCAAGGTGACTTCCCACCTGCTTCTGGAAATTGCTGTGGGGATTGTCTCATCTGAAGCCCACCTCAGCATCAGGTGTCTGAGACTGGTGACAAATTACATGCCTGCCAGCATCAAGGTCAGTCAAGGGAGCTGTGAGCAGCCCTCAATACTGCCATCGCAGAATGCCAGGCCCCAGCCCATGCCCACCTGCTGGATGTACCATTGGTTGAATAAAGGGGTAGCTTTTGACCCTGACTTCCCACAGGGAGACAGGCCTCACAGGCGCTCAGGCCAGGATGGGCCACACTGAGCAGGCAGCAGAGGCTACGAACAGCAGATCAGAGTAGATTTCAGCTGGCTGCCTGGCAACTGTGACTCAAAACACCTCCCCAAACCATGCTTCAGGTGAACTCAGCTTAGACACGGGGTGGAAGACAGGGCCCCGCTACAAACCAAGCTCCACCTTGACTAAACCTAGCAGATTCTGGGATCGAAGAGAGAGTGCCTCCACGGACAGGGAGATCCCAGAGGACAGTAGCAGCAACTCCAACAAGCAGCCTAGCTCCTGTGACCACCGACACCACAAGCTGAAGTGCCTCACCTCTTCCGCAGCGTGGACTCACACACTTTGACCACGCTGATGACTTCTTTGACAGTTCTCCGGAAATCATGCATTCTGGCTGCAACCAGAAGTGCTAAAAAAGAGTAAGAGGTGCTCAGAAAACTCAACCAGGATTGGGAGCTGAGAAAACAAAGTTCTTCTGCTGTAGCCTGGGGCAGGGACAGGACTCTAAGCTCGACCTCAGCCAGGTTGGAGACCCGCTCTCCTAGCCTGGCTCCTCCAGTTGAGCAGAGGGGGGCAGGGCAGGTTCCATCTTCCCTCGTGCTATGCAGGGAACTCCTAGGCAGTGAGAGTTCGTACCTCATTCTGAGTCATGGCTATATTCACATGCCACTTTTAAATATAAAAATTAAAATACAAATATTGAGAATGAGATGACTTCAAAGTGCCTTGTATGTGAAATGCTGGTTTCAGGAGCTGAGGATTCCCAGAGTGAGGCCCAAGCTAGGAGGAATAAGGTCAGATGCTAGCTGACCCACTAACCAAGGCTATGGTGAGCCAGGGTGGCCCATTGTCTGCAGTTCAAACATAGCCTCAGGCATTAGCCCCACACTAAATGAGTACAGAAGCTGGCCCCTGGCCTTCCAGAGAGTAGAAGACACTATAGGTGTTGGAGGAGGAACAGGGTTCTGGCAGCCAGGGGCTCCTCCTGGGCAGAAGACCCTGAGCCCAGGCCAGTCGGCCAGTCCTTATATAAGTACCAAGAGCAAAGCCTGGGGAATATCTGCAATAGCCTCAAGGCAACACAGGACAACTGTCCAGGGGCACCCTCAGCAGCAAGGACTCAGTGGCTTAGAAGAAGGCCACTCTGTTAACCTCACCAAAAACACCAACATCCACCTTGAATGGGAAACCCAGGATCAAGGCCAAGAGGCCCAGCAGTGCCTTTGGCTTCTGAGGTCCTGTCCCTTATCTCAGGAGGTGAAGAGGCCAATGGGGAAAAGAGCAGGCAGTGTGGGCTACACACAAGCCACCCTCCTCAAGGGCTGAGGACCCCGCGGCCAGGTCCAGACCAGGCACAGGAGGCAGCTCAGTGCAAGGTCCAGTCTGGAAACACCATCCCCAACCTGTGGACCTGGTGTACAAGGGTCAAGGCCAAAGTCTGGGGGTAGCTCCATCGGAAAACACTTGCCTCATAGGCTTGGTGCCTGGGTTCCCCATGCCAACCCCTGGCTCCACACACACACCAGAGTCAGGATAGAAAACATCACTAGTGTCTGCAGTCCAGCCAATGGGACTGTGACCACAAGGCCAGGCTTGGGGCTCCCACCATACCTGCTCCACAGAGGCCTGAAGGGCGCCGGCCTGTGTGCATCCAGTCCCTCTTCATCCTCTGCAAGAGCCTCAAAGCTGTCATGGACACCTCATGATTCTTCTCCCCAAACTCCAGCAGGTGGGCAAAGCGTGGGATGTAGAGGCAGGGGTCTGTGGCAGACACAACCCTCAGTATGCATGCACACACAGTCAGTGACAGACAGGACAAATAACTCGGATCAAGCAGCATCCCTGAACTGGAGTTGACCATTATCCATCTCTCTGTGCACTTGAGCCCCCAAGGCCCCACCCCTGAGACACAGCCGCTGTGGGAGCCACTGTGTTCACTGCACGAGAACACAGCTCCTGCCCTCCCACAGCCAGGCTGAGGGGAGCCTCTGAGCCACGCAGATGCAACAGTCTCTGGCGCTCAGAGGGGAGGTGGGAAAAGAGCAGGCAGTGTGGGTTCCACACAAGCCACCCTCCCAGTGCAGGAGCACTGGAGGGCAAGTGGGGCCTGGGGCCTCATCAGCCTCAGTGCTTGGCACTGTGCTGGGTGCTGGGAAGGAAGTGGAGCTCGCAACAGGTTTGTAGGAATAACCAGGTCATCTGATCTCGCTCCATCAGCACATATGAATGCACTGAAAGAACCACAAGTGGGCTGTTCAGGGAAACCTTGCTGAAGAGAGGCCACAAAGCAAAGCCTGAGGAAGAGGGGCTGGGAAAGTCACTGTGGCAGCAGGCAAGGACTGCAGTTGGCAGCAGAGGAGGGCAGGGCCATCATGGAGATGAATAGGCAGAGGAGGGAGACAGGAGCATGGGCAACACCCACCACCCTCCTCCCAGGCCTCCAGCTGACCTCCTCCTTGTAAAGCTGAGCTCTGGTCCCTGAAACCCGAGATCCTCTAAGGAGCTCCATCACCGGCCAACTGAAAGACCAGGAAAGAGAGGCAGGCATGGTGACACACCTGCAGTCCCAGCGACTCAGGAGGCTGAGGCAGAAGCAACACGAGCCCAGGAGTGGACCCAAACCACATCCTACACTGATGGCCTACAGCTGGACTATCCCAGGCTGCTGCCCCAGGATCCTAGTAGCCATCCCCAGGAGTCCAATTCAGGCAGCTGTGGATACCCATCCCCCTTTCTCAGGTGAGAAAAGGACAGAGGCCATGCAACCTGCCTGAGACCATGAGGCACCTACCACAACGGGGCTCGGGCCTGAGTCCACAGCTACTGCCCTTTTAAAAAACTTTTGGTGATATAGTTGCTAAAAGATATAATTCACAGAAAAATGAGAGGCCCTTTAAAATTAAGATTTGTATCTATTTTCAATAAAATAAGCCATCAGAACCGGAGATCAGAGATGTGCTATAAGATCTCATTCTGATGTGGGTGGGACTCAGATGTTAGTCCTTGAAATGTTGATTAAGAAATAGTGGTAAGAATTTCAAGACAAATGAGCCAGGTCACCAGGATAGGGCATGGGCCCTTTAACTAGGAAAGGAGGAAAACCAGGTAAAACAAAAACAAACCCATATGTAAATCACACGATGTCCATTAAATCCCTCATCAGCTCAGAGAGGAAGGCACCAAAATATTGCCAAAAGATAAAGGACAGAAGCTGGGCTGAGGCCCCGATGAGAGCCGTGATGCAGCCAGCTAAGTGGGTAACAGGCAGAAGGGTGTTGAAAGGGACAGAGGTGAGCACTGTGTGACAAATAAGACAGCCACACATCCCTATGCACAGGGACAGAGAAGAGTACCATGAGCAAGAAGTACTGGAAACAGACTTCAAAAGCCACCCCAACCATGGGCGCCTGTAACAGCCCTTTCAAACGTGAGACTGCCAAGGAACCAAGGCTAATGGGGAAGCAGACACACCCTCTGGGACTCCACTCCACAACCAGGTTGAAGTCCCACACCCTCTAGAGTAGTCCTTTCCCCAAAGTCTGGAGCAGTTACACAAATGGCTGTGTGTTAAAGAAGGAAGAAACCAACATTTAATACAGTTTAGACATAGGAGACCTCAGAGCAGAGGCCTCTGACCACACTGCCACAAAACTGAGGACAAGCAGGCTCCCCTCCTCACCACGGCCAAGTGACCCTCCAGGCACCTGATAGACCTAGGGACTTTCAAGACTGAGGAAGAAACAGTAAAGAAAGAAAGCCAAGCAGTTAAACAATAAGAAGTCAAAAATTAACAAAATAAATCCTTAAAGCTAGGCAAAAAAGGGCTGGGTGTGGTAGCACAGGCCTGTAATTCCAGGTACTACAGAGGCTGAGGCAGGAGGATCACAAGTTTGAGGCCAGCCTGGACAACACAGTGAGACCCTGTCTCAAAAAATAAAAAGGGGTGGCTGTGAATATAACTCTGTGGTAGAGCACCCCTGGGTTCAATCACCAGACCAGAAAAAAAGAGAGTAAACAAAAAAGAGTAAGAAAAAAACTAATAAAGAAAACTAAGTAATAAATAAATAAAACCAGTAAAGACAGATCCATAGACTAATGGAACAAAACAAGAGAGTCCAGAAATAAACCCTTGCATTTACAGCCAAGAGAACTTCAACAAGGTGCTGAGAAGACGAGTGAGGGAAGGATAACCTCTTCAAACATGGTGCAGGGAAAATTAGATTTTCATATGCAGAACAGTGAAGACAGACCCTTATCTTACAATATGTGCAAAAATTAACTCAAAACAGATTAGAAGGACTGGGATGCAGCTCAGTACAGTGCTTGCCTAGTTTACCCAAGGCCCTGGGTTCAACCCAACACTGCAAAATCAAAAGAAAAAATGAAAACAAAACAGGTTAACATCTAAGCAAAAGAAAGAAAGAAAGAGAGAGAGAGAGAGAGAGAGAGAGAGAGAGAGAGAGTTAAAACCCCTAAAAGAACATATCAGGAAAAGTTCTATGACATTGTTCTTGGCAATGACTTCTTGGACAAGAACAAGGGCCACAAAAGCAGAAACAGACTGCTTCAATCTCAAAGGTTTCTATACCAAGCCAAGGAGTCTTTCATCAGGTGTATCAAATGGGAGAGAAATGGCTGCAGACCAGAATATAGAAGGAATTTGAATACCTCGATAACAAGGAAAAACAAATAAGCTGATTAGAAAATGGGCAAAGGACTTGAATTGACATTTCACCAAAGACATGCAGGCTGGGCACAGTGGTTCACGCCTGTACTCCCAGCAACTCTGGAGGCTGAGGCATTAGGATCGCAAGTTCAAGACCAGTCTCAGTGACTTGGCCCTGTCTCAAAGTAAAAGGGCTGGATGTAGCTCAGTGAGCACCCCTGGGTTCAATCCCCAGACCACAAACCACACACAAACAAAAAACACAAGAAGATAAGCAAATGGCCAAGGAGCACATGGAAAGATGCCCAACAAAACTAACCACCAGGAAAACATAAACCAAAACCACAAGACACCACCTCACACCCATCAGCATGGCCACTATCAAAAACAAGGCTGTAAAGTTGGTGAGGATGCAGAGAATCTGGAAACTTTGCACACTGTTGTCGTGAATGTAAAATGGTGCAGCTACTAAGGAAAAGCCACTATGAAGTTGCCTCAAAAAACTAAACAGTTGGGTTCAGTGGTGCACACCTGTAATTCCAGTGACACAGAGGCTGAGGCGGGAGTATTGCCAGTTCCAGGCCAGCCTCAGCAACTTATCGAGGCCCTGTTTCAAAATAAAAAATAAAAAGGGCTGAGAGCATGGCTCAATGGTTAAGCACCCTTGGATTTAATCCTTGATACCAGAAAACAAAACAAAAACTAAACATAGTGCTACCATATGTTCTAGCATTTGACTTCTAGGTAGAAACCCCTAACTGAAAGCAGGATCTCAAAGGGCCACATGCACTTCTATGGTCACAGCAACATAAAACCACAGTTTAAACATGGAAGCAACCCAAGAGTCCATCAATGGACGAATGGATAAGCCAAAGAGGTAACACACACACACTGGAATATCACTCAGCCTTAAACTGGAAAGGAACCTTGATATATCACAACACTGGACGGACCTTCGGGACATTAGGTCCAGACGGGCAAGCCAGACACAAAACGGCAAAGACTGTACCATCCCACGTACGTGAGGTCCCTAGAGTCATCAAACTCACATAGACAGAGAGTAGAACAGTGGTCCACAGGAGCTGGGAGGAGGGAAATGGGAGGGTTTATTCAACAGGGCTTCGCCATGAGAGCAGCCCTGAGACACGCCATGCAGCGCCGTGCTCAGAGCCCAGGGAGCTCTGTACCCTCAGAGCTGCTCTGAGGAGAAGCGTTTGCCCAGCATGCACATGGCCAAGGATGTAGCAATGCAAAAAATTAAAATAAATTGTTTTACCGCAATAAAGAATAAATAAAATCTACTCTAAAAAGATCAATAAACATATAAATCTCCACCAAGTCTAATCAAAAAATATAAACAAGCTTTAGGAACTATAAAAGGACTGAATACAGAAGTAGAAACTTTTTTAAATCGAGTAACTACTGTGCATAATGTTATAACACATTTAAGACACAAGATGGAAGGGGTAACTTTTCTTTTTTTATTTAAGTATAAGGTTTTAGGTGTTCACATCCCCACAGTTACCCTCAGGTCAGGATGCTGTCCACCTCCCCAGACAGCTGTCTGCTCAGGGTTGGCGTGTGGCCGCCGCAGCTCATTCTCGCTATGCCCACTACATGAACCCACCACAGTCTGTTCATCCTTTCTGATGCTGATAGACATGTGGACTCTTTCCATTCTGGCCATTTGTTCATTTTGCTAAAAACTGTTCATGCCCTTTATCATTTTCTCTGAGAATGGTTGGGACATAACCACAGCGCACCATTGAGAGTGGGCTCTGACAGTGTGAAATGCTGCTGTGGCTTCTGTATCCAAGGTGGGCATGTGCACTTTTTCCTCTTGGGATTTTCTGTACCATCTTTCCAAAATGCCACATGTGGGACACACTGTCATCCCAGCGCCTGGCATCCTCAGCCATCCTGAGCTCAGCCACCTGGGGGACTCGGTAGCTCACCCCAGCTAACCCATCATATGTGCACTGTTCACAGGCTCACTTGCCTCCTGGGCAGTGTCTGTTCACATCTCTGCCCACTTTTAAAAACGGGGTTGTTGGTCTTTTTTTCATCCTGATTTGCGTTCTGGAGAGTCCTGTTGTCAGGAATATGGGAGATACCTTCTGAAAACAACATTCTCCAAATTGAGGAGGTTGAATACTTAGATAACCATGGAAAGAAATGGAAATTTATGCTCCATTCTTGGGCCTGGGTGTGCCAGGTGTCACCAACTACTGAGGCTCAGTTCAAAGCTACCAACAAGCTGTATGGAGAGTACTGGAGACCCTCACACTGGGCCTGCGGGCATCTTCAAAACACTGCCAGCTGGAATCATCCCCAGGCAAGAGGTGGGATTATATCAGACTGTCCCAGAGGCCAGAAGAGTTCCCCAGCAGCCCAGGCTGTCGGGGTGCCTAGGACCAACCCCCACCTGCTGTGTGACCCTGAGCACATTACTAACTCCTCTGGTGAATTCTCAAGGAAAATGACAATTCTGCCTTCTCCCTCTTCCTTGGGGCAGGCCTATGTAAAGCACTCAGGGAAGGGTGGAAAGGCCATCAATGAGTGGTTGCTTCTAGTCTGCAATGATCTAAATTACCAAGCATGTTCAAAGTAGAAAAAGACTTCTATCTGTTTTTTAAAAACGGTAAAACACAAAAATAAAATTCAGAACAAAATACAAAAGGGCAACAAACACAAAACCATGTTCAACTGTATTCACAGTCAAAGAAACGCAAACGAAGACAATGTGATATAAATTCCCTTGAATTACCAAAGGTCAGAAAGAAAGTGGATTACTAGCAAGCCGTGGGACCATTTCGCATATTCTGAAGGGGGCACAACAAACTAATCGGGGCACAATGAGTTGGCAACCCCCCCCCAAGTCCTAAAAGCCCCTAAATAAACAGGATTCTGAGACAACATCTCACCACTGATGTCTATAAAACAAAAACACACAAACCACCACAACTTCCCTAGACGGGGTACTGAGGCATGGTCCCAACTGGTTGCCTAGAAGCCCTAAGGAGCAAGAGAGGAGGCCGGGTCCCACGCCAAGTCCTCACCGAGACGGGTGTAAGGACAGGGCTGCGGGGCGTCCCGGCAGCAACTCTTTGCAGCTTGGAAGGGGACCTCAAGGTGTCGCCAAGCTGCTCAGAGTAACGTCCTCCAGCGAGGAGCGGAATCAGCTGCGTCGGTTTTTCTGCAACACCCAAGTTTCTGCAGTCTCATTTCTGGGTGACAGAAAAGCGTGCCGACGTAAGGCGGAAGGAGCGGGGCGTTCGGGTCCCAGGAGGGCACCGCCGCTGGGCAGGGACCGCAGGGGTATCAGCCAGACATCCCACCGCACAGCTTCACCGCCTCCCGCGGGAGTTGGGCGGGTCTGCGAGAGGAGCCCAGGGATCCTGAAGGGCGGGCCCCGACGACGTCAGG